TTTTACGTCATCCCAATTATCAAATCGTACAAAGAAATTCGAATCTTGGCATTACCAGTGATTCTGGAGTAGATGAATCTGAAGAGTGGATACTTATCTCTTCAGAGGACAATTCGATAGCATTATCACAATCCTCAATAAATGCGTTAAGTTGGTTCCTTTCTCCGGAAAAGAAATTAGGAACTAGACTACACAAGAATTCAAGGGATATTTGGGATGGGTCGAAAACAGGTTGATCAAGTTTAGGCATTGTTCACAAAATGAGTTACCTATTAACTACTACTTACAGTATAAAGAAATTCTGATAAAGAGTTAAAACCCACCAACATGAAACGAATTACTTAAGAATTCTCCGGTTTCTTGTCGTTCAGAATGATCCTACCGACTGCGCCAAAATTTTAATATGTTATATTCGGTTCGTTCTTTATTTTTGTAAGTAATGAACAAGCACTTAAAACTATCACAAAACTAATATTAATAAACAAGAACTTATTACAGCAGACTAACAATCAAAATGAACCAACGCCAAGCTGTGTAGCTTGCCTATATTACTTTGGTCTTTCGTCAGTCAACTGTTTCGAATGTTCGAGCAAACACTTGCAAATAAAATAAAAGAAGGAGTCTTTAGAAGCTTCGCTTCTAAAGAAGAACAATTTGAGTTCGTCGCCAGTCTTTTGTTTATAAAAAGTTGAAAATGTGAATATTGAGTACGGGATCATAACAATATATATGTTAAAAAGAAATATTGAGTCATATTATATGTGGTGGCCTACATGTTTTTAACCTCAATTATGAGTCATTCAAGACAACAACGACAAAAAAAAAAAACAATTGTCATTTACTACAACTTGGTAAATAATTTATTATTTATAATAAAATTATTAATAATGATTTTCCATTAATTACAACAGTCAGTCGATTCATTTTGATTTTTTTTTCCTTTTTAAAAGTAAATAATAATAATAATAATAGCAAATCATTTAATGGTTAAGTTAAATAAAGATAACAGTAATAGCTGGTATTTACAAATGTCGGTCCTATTAAATAATAATAATAATAACTGCAATTTGTGGAGGTAATTAGTACTCGGGTAGAAGTAAGATGGATGTGTCTACCTATCATAGTCTATGGTATGTCTACCTATTGTAGTCTATAGTTTGTTTACCTATTGTAGTCTATAGTGTGTCTACCTATTGTAGTCTAGTGTGTCTACCTATCATAGTCTATAGTGTGTCTACCTATTGTAGTCTGTAGTATGTCTACCTATTGTAGTCTATAGTGTGTCTACCTATCATAGTCTATAGTATGCCTACCTATCGAAGTCTATAGTATGTCTACCTATCATAGTCTATAGTGTGTCTACCTATCATAGTCTATAGTATGTCTACCTGTTGTAGTCTATAGTGTGTCTACCTATTGTACTCTATAGTGTGCCTACCTATCGTAGTCTATAGTGTGTCTACCTATCGTAGTTTACAGTGCATCTACCTATACTTATACCAAACATTACAATATTGATAATATTGTTTATTAATACCTGAATTGTTAAAAAAACCAAAAGTTATATGCTTCAGGTTTCAATTTTGACAATTTTTTTTTTTAAAAACATTTAACTAATCGTTAACATAAAATATCGGTAATGGTAATATCGAAACTTCACTCGAAATATGTTAACCCCTTTATTTTAGAATTTTCGAAGAAGAAAATAAATTAATAATAATAATAATAAAATTTTGTGAGTTTTACAATGATAATATTTTAAAATTAATTTTAATTACATAAAGAGAAATTTTAAAAATATGGGAGATTTCTATTTTTAATTGTTTAAACATAAATACTAGTGCATGAAGAAAGTAAAAAAATTAAAAATTTTTAAATTGGGATTGTTGTAATTTTTTTAAAAGCAATTCAATCTTAATTCGAATTTTAAAAAAAATAACATTTGACTTATATCCATCATAATTTAATTAGAACTATTATCACATGAATAAGGAAATGAAACTTTCTTTAACAAGTGTTAAAATTTTATTTAACAGTGATTTGTTTAATGTAATTCATGCATACCGAAAAAAAAAAACATTTATTATGAAATAATCATTAAGTAAAAAGCATTAGAAATTAATATTTAATAGTTTGAAATAAAAAATAAATGTCATAATATACATAAAATGCATAAAATGTTTTCAGGGACAAGTTACTCAGTGGACAGACAAGCTGTAACAAGGCATAGTTTAAAATCTACGTCATAATAGTTATTATCTTACCTGCGCTACGAAGGAAAAAATAAAAATAGAAATTAGTAAATAAATGTTTCCTATTGAGGAATAATTTCCTCTAGCACAATACGATTTCCCCAATTTCATTGTTTCCCACACTTGAGCCGAGGAAGGTTGAAAAATCACAAAATTGTGTCATTCACTCTACCGCTTTTTAGACATATTTTTTATATTTAAACCGTTATTACGAATAATTATTATTAAAATGCTTTGAATTATAATAAAAAAAACTGATAAATATTAGTTAAATTTAATTTTTTTTTTTCTGACAACGATTCACTATTACTTGACTCTAACCACGGCTTTGCGTTGACTATACTGATCTTGACAAATATCATAGAGTAATATTTAAAACGATTTCACAGCCTTGTATTACAAATTTTACGGTTACATTAATAACCTTAATAAATGCATTTGTGAAGCTAAATAAAAAAATTGTTGACGTAATTTGCGAATTTTCTGCATCTTTAAATAATGAAAATTTGTCAAAAAAGAAAAAAAAAAAAAAAAAATGTTTTTAAAAAATTTATTTTTTTAATTCTTTTTTATCACGATTTTGATTTTTTAATAATGAAACATTTTTTCTTAAATCTTTTAATTCGTGGATGGCAATTTTTAAAAATCGACCTTCGGGACTGTTATTCGGCTCGTAAATTAAAATATCAATTGCTTTTTTTAAAATTTTTTCGCATTCTTCCATTTCATACACAAATTCAAGATAATTAATTTCTTTTAATTCGTATTTTTTTTCAGCAAGCATCAACATAGGTTTATATAACTCATAGAACACTATTCCTAGAAAAAAAAAAAAAAAATCATCTTTTCATTATGCCATTGGCAAAAAAAATACCAAAACTAAGTAAAAATGAATTTTTTACCTTTATGCCTTGAAATTCCAGGCTCGATAATTTCCAACAAATTAATCATTTCTCTACAAAATCGTATAATTTTTATCAAAATTTTTTTTTGTGGATTCATTTGATTTCTTATGGTATCTCTAAGGGATGTTATTAATTTTTGTTTGATTTCAGTCATGACATAATTATTTTGTGGAAAACTTTTAAGACATTTCTTCAATAAATTTTCTAATTGTGTAGAATTGGTTTCATCGACATCCGATAAAAGATTTTGCCCCTCGACATTTGTCGCTTTTATCAATTGATTATAGAAGAAATGATTGCACTTTTCGCAATTCCAACCGGATGAATCGGATAATGGATTTTGAGAAATGATGCATCCCTCATGACATCTGGGACAAATTATAGATCCGGAATAAGTTCCCAATTCAGTTGGATCGGTACATCTTTTACAAAAACAATTAAAATATTTTCCCTTTTTTAATCTTTGTTGTCGAGCTGCAGTACACTGAAAACAAAAAACAATTTTTTAAAAATAATCTTTAGTGAAAGTGTTGAGAAAGAACCGGATTAGTGTGCACACTAACTTCGAAAGGATTAGCATAATTAAAAAAAATAGCTTGACCGGATTTTATGGGAACGCTAGCATGAATTGTCATTTCAAAAAAATCATTTAGGGATACATGAGTGTTTCCTATGCAATCATGAGACATAAATGCAGCTTCCCTATAAATTCCTCTGAGTTGATTACCAGCAGAAATTTGTTCATCATCAGGACATCTCATTTCGAATGAATTAACATCTAAAATTCCGCATATTTTTTGCATTAATAAACATTCTTCATCATTTAAAATATTAACCGAATTTAAAACCTAAAATTATTAAAAAAAATAATCAATTAAAATAAATTTTTTTGTACGACAAAAGTCGAAAAACAAAAAAAAAAAAAAAAAATTTACTTTAATAATATTTTCTTGATAATAATTCCAAATCGGTTCATTTTGTCGTTCGTCAACGTGAGACTCCATATTTATAAAATTATCCCATAAATGATCATCATCATCATCATCATCGGGAAATAAAAATAATTTTAACGAGAAACATTTTAACGGTAAAACAATTTGAAAATTAGATACTATGAAATTTTTATCGATTTTATCATTTTCAAATAATTTTTTATAATATTTACATTCGTATTTTGAATGTTGAGATTTGAGACTGCAATCCTCGCCGCAAACGGGTGCTATCTGACATTCCCGACAAAATTTAAATTTTTCGAAAAGGATTCGTCGAAAACAACCGAGACATAAAATATTTGAATTAATGCTAGGTCCTAGTATAAGAGGTTGTTCTTTTAAAATAATTTCTCCCGGTTTTAAATCCTTCGAGGCAACCATAAACCTATAAAAAAAAAAAAATCATAAATAAAAGATTAATAAACCCCTCCCCTCCCCCCCGGAAAAACTTACGTACCTTCCATATTTATCGGAAAATTCGATTGCGTATGATTTATTATTATTATTATTATTATTAAAAGCCATTTATTAAATATTCTTGCGTCACACTACGATGAGTTTTTATTTAATTTTAATAAATTTATTTGAAAAATAATAATAATAATTGTACTTGTACGTGTTTTTCCAGTTTGCTGTATCAAATTATTATTATTATTTAATAATGCATAATTCACTAAAAAATTTTTTTTTTTTTTAAATATTTAAATTAATTTTTTTTTACTTTTCCATTTCCATAAAAAATAAATCAAAAAAATTTTTAAATAAATTATTATTATTATTATTATTTTTCAAAAAGGTTAATTTCCCAAAAATTATAAATAAGTAAATATTTAAATTTTCTCTTTAAAAAAAAAAAAAAAAAATCACGTTGAAAATAAGTAGACACAAATACAAACCAACGTGAAACAATTTAAAAAAAAAAAATTTAGAAAAAATTTAAAAATAGCTCTCTAGTTTACAAAAAAAAAAAAAAAACAATGATCTAAATTTAATTTCCAATATTTTTTTCTCGAAAAATTTATTTTTATGTACATAATGTACAAATAAAACTCTTTAAAAATATAATAATAATAATAATAATTTTTTTTTTTTTAATAATATCAATAATAATTTCATAATTTAATTTAATTTAATAATAATTTCATTATAACAATTCGACTTTAAATATAAATCATTTTTTTTTCTTTCCTCTTCACTAATAAATTTTTCTTCCGATTTTAACTAACGATTCCCTCAAATTTATTTAATTTAATTAATAAATAATTAAATTAATTAAAAATTATCTTAAAAGAAAACTTTGAAAAATAATTTTTTTTAATTTTCTAACACAAAATCTAATCGTTTCCAATCACTTAACAAGATAAACGATTCAAAAAAAGAACAAATAAAAATATTATTATTATTATTATTATTAGTCCTGCTGTTGGAAAATAGAATTTTCAAGTTGACTTAAAATATTAACAGCCATTTTTTTTGCATTTCCTTCGGGCGATTCGGGATCATCGTAAGAAAATATAAATATAATTTTATTCAAATATTTAATCGCCATTGAAATTTTCTCATTCAACTGTTTTTCATTAATTTCATTTCGTCGAAATTGTTTTTTTGCAAATTTAACGACACAAGATTGTAATTCAAATAAATTCCATCCTGAAATTATTAAAATTTATTAAAATGAAAAATGTTAATGAGAAAATTGGATTTAAAAAAAAAAAAAAAAACTCATTAGAGGAATCGGATCGAGACCTTTTTAATTATAAAATCAAAGAGGTCGTTAAAGAAAAAAATTTTTTTTTAAAAAATACCTCTTTGCCTGGAAATACCCGGCCTTAATGTTTTTAATACCTCATCCAATGTATAACACAATTTCAATTTTTTTTCTAATAAAATATCAGGCAAATCATCTAAAAAATATTCTTTAGCTTGACCGTACAATTGAGCCAATGAATATTTAACGATAATTAAAAACCCATTGTTGGGATGTAGTAGGGATTTATATTTTTTAATAAAATTTTCACGGATTTCCACCGGATCTAAATAATTATCCAATTTGTTTAAATTTTCAACTTCTTGTTGAATATTAGAAAAAAGTTTTGAAACGGAATCTCCGGTAAGTTTCCAATTGCATGATGTACAATTCCAGGGAGCATCCACAACTGTAAAAATTCAAAAATGTTTCATTTGAAATAAAATTTAAAAAACAAAAATAATTTTACCTAATGGATCAGTATTCAATATCCAACCGTTATAACAATTTGAACATTTTATTGTGCTGAAATTTGTTTTTAATTCTGTTGGATCAGAACATCTTTGACAACAGCAATCGAAAAATTTCCCCTCCTTTAAATGAGATCTTCTTAGAAGGGTAGGCCAAAGAGTTTGTGTGTAACTCAATGTAAATTCTTGTCCTTTTTTAATTTTTAACGATGCTCTCACGTGAATTACGTTACTCCTCTCCCCATCATTTGAATTTTTAAAAATGTAATGACCCACATTTGGAATGCAAGAATGAAGGAAAAGAGATGATTTCGGATATAAATATCTCATGTCGTAACCGTAAGATGACGGAGATGAAAAAGCATTCGTTTCTAAAATACCACATGCAAAATGTATGAGATCTGATGAAAATCTCTCCTGGAGCTTACAAACTTTATGTAAAAATCCAACGGTATTAATGCTCTCGACTTTCCATATATCTGTCTTTTGTCTTTCTTCGTTATGTGATTCCAGTTTCGATATTTGAGAATTCCAGATTTCTGGAAATTTTTCTTTTCCAAGAAGAACTCTCAATGGAGTTATGCATTCATATTGTGGACAATTCCCCTGTGGATTTTTAACTTTGGTGAAACGTACTTTAACCGAAGAAAAAATTATGCATTCGTTTTCCGAATGAATTGGTTCCTTTTCACATTTTTCATCGCATACAGGCCAACCACATGTAGAACATAAGATTTTTCCATCAACTTTACGATGGCATCCCAAACAAACTGGTGGGGAGTCACTTTTGGGACCGTATGTAAAAGGTGATTCCTGTATTATCAAGTCACCAGGTTCGTAGTCTTGTAAGGCTACAGCGTACCTGTAACAAAGGTTCTTTTTTTTTTTAAACATTAACACTCTTAAAAACTAAACCATTACCGTTAGTAAATATGATAAAATACTTAAATTATATAATTTTACCTGCCAAATTTATCATTTTTTAAAATATCAAAATTTTTATTTAAATTTAACATTTTAGTCGTTTAATTTTGTACTTTATGCTGCTGTTAAAAACTAATTTATTTTTAAAAACTAAAATTCATGTGCTCTCCCACGCACTATTTTATTCCACGACTTCTCCCGATTTACAACTATTTTTAACACAAATTTTTAATTATTATTATTTTTTTAAAAAAAATTTTAAATGTTTTTATAAATTTTTAGTTTTTTTTTTTCGAATAAGCACAAATATAAATAAGTTCATATGCAACATTTAAAAATAACTTTTTTTTACATCATTTAATTTGTGTAGTTTCTGATATGTTGGTTATTTAATGTTTTAATAATATTTCATCGAAAGGATTAACAGCAGCTTTTGGTGGATAAATTGAATTTGTGATAGGATGATGACACGGAATCACTTTTGTCCTAAAATTATAAGGTAGAAATCTGATGATAAACTCATAAAAGTCCACAGTTGTACTGATGAGACCAACAGTAGCCATTTCTTTTTTTAATTTTTCTGTAAGAGATTTCTGATAAGATTTTCTTCTAGTTACAATTTTAACCGTGTCGCATATTCTCATTTCGATTTCCTCTGCTCTAACATTTGTATCTATTCCATATTTAGGCTTGAGCTTATTCAATATATATTGATGTAGTTTTTTAGTCACAAAAGGACCTTGTTTCTTTTTTTTTAAACCATTCGATGCAATTTTTTCCTTTTCCTTTTCAACGACAACAACTTTTTTTTTTTTAATCGAATTATTAATTAAATCATTTTTTTTAACATTAGAAACGATATTGTCGAATATTTTATCCCATGAAGATTTTTCAAATGAAACGCTTTTATTAAAATTCTTATTCGATTTAAGTAAATTTTCTTTATTATTTGACAAATTGGTTGAAATCCTTGGAACACAGGGAGGTGATATTTCCTCTTCTGAATTGTCAGACATCCAACATTTTAAATTTTCATCATTTATCGATGACTGTTCGAAATAAGTATCTGTATTAACGTGTTTACTCGATGAATTGTTTAAGCCGAAATTAGTGTCGCTATTTTCAGCATCATTATTAAAAGATAATTTATTCATTAGACTAATATTGCTTTTTTCAATCAATTTTGAAACATGCATTTCTTCTCCTCTAATGGCTTCTTGAGTTTCTTTAAATTGTGCAATATTATCATTGCTTGTCTTTTCGCATTTTTCATCTTCATTACCATTTGTGTTTTCTATTCCATCAGCTTGTGATTTGTTATTTTCTAATGTTAATGTAACATTTGTTATGTTATAATTTTCTTCTAAAATGCTTTTATTAGATTTTTTAAAAATAGAATTTCGACTCAGCTCATGATCTGAAACATTTTTAATATTAGATTCGTTAAATTCGACTTCAAAATGATTAATCTTTTTCTTTTGAGATTTTCGAAACAGCTGAGTCTTTAAATTATTTTTTCTGGCTTCTTGTTTTTCATTAGTTTCCAAATTTGTGACATTAATCGTGTCACTCAAAGAATTTTCTAATTCAACAGGCTTTTCGGTTGGTTGACTCAATAAAAACGACCTTATATCAGAAGTATAGTTTTTAACATTGGTTATAGTTTCTTCGTTATCAATATTAAAAAAATTTTTATTTGACGTAGGCTTATTTTTAAAAGCACCACGTTTATCCTTTTTTAAAATTGATGTCGACATTGATGAAAGTTCAAATTCGGAATCATCATTTTTTTGATGATCATTTGGTGATTCTGTGAGATCCTGATCAGTGTGAAATGTATTAAACGGATCTGTTGCATATTCGTTTCGTTTAAATACTTTTTCCGATTTAGAAAAACTGCTTGATTCGTTTGATTGACTGCATATTCTACTTTCAGTAAAATTAACACTGAAATCATCAAGTGTAGGCGATTTAAATTTTTGAAAAGGCTTCGATTTTCTATTAGCATCCTTTTCTTGTTCCAATAAAGATTCACCAGTGTGGATATCAGATATTAAACTTTCCATTTCTTTTCAATAAAACTAAAATATAAAAAATAAAAACTTAATTACTAAATAACACCAATTAGTAAAAAAATACGATTAAAATTAAATAAATACCAAAGAACTTATCAATTACAATCATCAACACAAAACGTTAACGTTATTTCCTTTGGCGCGCTTTTATCTCATGTTGCCAACCTAAAAATTTATTTAAAATTTGTTTCAAGTTAATAAATAATTATAAATATTTTCTATAAGCACAATTTTTAATAAAAATTATTAAGAAAATATTTTAAATAAGAATCCATGACACGATTAAACAATTAAATCTAAAAAAGTAAAAATTTGTTGACATTATTTTTTTTACATTAACTAAAATGAAATATTTGTATAAACTAAATAATTTCAATTCAAATTAAATTCTTTTGTTTTTAGTCATTTAGTTTAAATAAATTAAAATTAAATTACACTAATAAAAAAATTTTTTTAATATTATTTAATTTATTATTATTATTATTTTTTTTTTTTTGTACATAATTATTGACTCCTATTTTAAAATAAAAACAATTAATTTTTTTTTTGCAGGGTAGTATGTTATGTTAAAATAAATTTTTATTTTACATAAATATTTATTTATGTATATATGTATATTATTTATATATTGTACATACACATTGAAAAAAAAATAAATTAATTGAAAAGATAAATTTTAAAATTTTAATATTTATTATGAATTACTCTAAATATATATAATTTTTATTAAAATTGAATAGTCATATTTATTTAAAAAGTCAGAGAAAATTTTTTTGAATGAATGAATGAATGAATAAATATTATAAATTTTTTTTGTATTTTCAAGCTCAAAATTTCTTTTGTTTAAACAAATATATATTTATATATATATATAAAGAAAAGTGTGTTGAAAGTACAAAAAATCCAACATAATAATAAGCTTTGGCCTTATATTTGGATCATTGCATTTAAATAAAAAAAAAAAAAAAAAAGTAAGTAATTTCACATTTATTATGATATTTTGAATTTAAAAGATTTGAAAAGAAATAATAATAATAATAATAATAATAATGATAGATTTATAAATTGAAATTTGACTAGTCAGTAATATTTATACATTTAATAAAGAATTCTATATATTCGACGATTGTTTGTTTGTTAATTATGGTTAAAAATTTTTTTGTATTATTACCCCTCCTTTCTATTACTAAATAAATATATATTTTTTGAAAATTTTCATCGATTAAATTATACCTGCGGGGGTGTAAAATGGAAAAGCTCCGAATTGTGAATTTATTGGGGTTTTGGGTGACGCGCACATGTATAAGAATTCGTCGGATTGTAAACGGGTTCGATTTAATGTCGGCTCGGAGGCCGACCTGTGGATTTTAGGTAGCGATCTCACTAAACTTTCCAGGGATGCTAGTATTTGTCTGAAAAGCGGCCTTTCGTCGCGATTTAATTTTATGCAGTCTTCAATTAGTCTACACAATGCCTTTGGAGTATCAGAACGTAAATTGGTCAAGTCTGGGCGCAATTGCCCTCGTCCAACCATAAAAACAATTTGATCCTTATTATTTAAATGGCTATAAGGTAATTGTCCTGTGAATAACTCGTAAGACACGATGCCGAAAGCGTACACGTCCGATTGAAAACTGTAAGGATTTTCATCCTGCATTCTTATTACTTCGGGAGCCATCCATAGAATCGACCCGGATGGCTGAAGAAATTGTTGCGAACCCGACCACCGCGTTTTTACCGTGGCAAGACCAAAATCACCTATTTTCACGGTTAAATCATCAGTCAAAAAAATATTGTTACTTTTTAAATCTCTGTGAATGATATTTTTGGCATGTAAATAATCCATTCCTTGAGCTGTTTGCCTGCTGATCTCAATTAGACAAAGTAATTCAAATTTTGTTTCCTGAACGTGTAAATGTTGATACAAACTCGAACCTTCACACCACTGGGTCACAATAGAAAGCTGTGGCTTACTAACGCATCCCATGAAAAGTAGTACATTGACATGTCTGGTTTTACGCAAAACAGCAACTTCGTTTTTAAAAGCCTGCAACTGAGCTGGAGTCGGATCTTTTACATTTAAGGTTTTGATTGCGACAGGACCGTGCCAATGACCTTTGTACACTGTTCCAAAAGAACCAGATCCTATTCTGGCACACATTAATATTTCATCTGCAGGAATTTCCCAATCTTCTATTGTCTCTCTAGGAGGTCTAACTTTTTTGCTACTCTCATCAGCACTTCTTGCTCTAGGCCTCCACGGCTGTAAGGTATTGGTTGGCGAAGCTTGTTCGCTTCTGGAATTGAAATGATGAGTAGGACTACTTCCAGGGCTACTCGCATTGCCCCCAGCTGGACTACTCAAATTTTTAACTTGAGAATAATTTCCGATAAAATTTTCAGATACGGCATAGTCTCCTCCCTGTTCTACCATGTGAATACAAACATTGGGAGCAGAACTGGAACGTTCCCTCTGACTAAGAGGCTCATTTCTCCCATGCTCTCCATGATGAGGAATAAATTGAGGCTCAGACTTTTGGGGCTGGGCAAGCAAAGTTTGATAAGCTATATCCTCCATTCTAACTTGTTGACACAATGGTGGAACTCCACTTGCACATCTTTGATGAAATCTATAACCGCAAGTTCGACAACAGAAACCCTGAAATAGTAATTTTCTACAACACTCACAAAATGCTAATGAAAAAAATGTTTTTCTCACAAAGTTGTGAGATATGCTCGTAGTTATTGGAAATTTTTCAATTAGTTGCACTACTATTTCATCACCAACATTACAAATATCTTCATCCCAAGAAATTTTTTTATTTTTAAAAGTAACACTGTAAACATCACACATTATCGGTGTTAATTTTCTTAAATTCATTGCTTTCGCTAAAGCTTCTCTGACTGTGAGACCAGGCCATACTTGCACACTAGTTCTTTGTTGATTGGGTAAAAAAGCTCTAACCACAGATTTTAATGGAGAATGAGGAACTTGTTTGGGCGAGTTTAAATTTTCTGTTGTTGTATCATCACCAGATGGATAAATCTGTTCCATTAATTCATGCTCTTTCATTAAAAATTCATGTAGTTTACTGGTCAGCTCTTGATACTCTGTTAAGTACATTGTCGGAGGGTGCTGAAAGCTGGCAAATTTTGCATTTAAAGCATCTATGTTTTCTCTAGTGAGTCTTATAACGCTCCTTATGTTTTTAAGTTCATCAAGCAGCGAAGAATTATTATTATATGATCCTGAAGGTACACTTGCCATTATGGCTGTGAGATATGGTGATACCTGAAATTTTAAATTTAAAAAATTTATCAACGCGAAACAATTTTATTTATGCACTTAAGCATTTAATCATTCACGTTTGGTTAAAAATTTAATAAACTAAAAATTAAAAAATTTTAATTTACTATTTTCTTTTAAAAACTCAGTAATTATAAATTTCATTTTTCTATTTTTAAAAAATTGATGGCAACATTTAAATAGTTATATTTACATATACAGGTTGCATGGCATGCTTATTTAATTTGATATTATTATTTAAATATATTTAAATAATTTTTTTCTAAACGTTAATTGTAAATTATTAATAAAATTTGTAAATGCCCAGCCGAATTGACTGTTCAAAGAAAATCGGCTAATTTGAGGGGAGGGGGATGAAAGAAAATGTGATGCAGGTTGACCCAATTAAATTTTATGATAATAAATTTATTAATTAACCCTTTACTTGCTTTAAACTTCGCGTTACTCAAAAAACATGATTCTCCTACAAAAATATATGTTGTAGAGGAAAAAGATTTTTAAAAATTTAAAAATACTTTGACACTTTCTTGCGTGTTTATTCACTCTGTGAGATATTGAAAAGTGACCTCTCGCGATGAGAATAATAAGTACCATGCCGGTGGTCTGACGTCATAACGCTTTTTCTGGACGTTTCTTCAACTATTAAAATTATTCCTTAAAAAGGAGCAGAGGTAAGCATTGGTCGGAAAGTTTTTAGTCGGTGTTTGTTTCGCTTAAACGTATGTTGTCTTGATGTCTCACGCAAATTTTTGCGATACAAGTCTTAGTCCTTGAATATTCGGATTATGCTATTATTTACGGCGTACGATAATTCTTAGTATTGATTTTTAGTTTAACTCTTGACCCGATGGAGGACTCGGAAGTGTTTGTGGAATCTCCATTCGTAAAATATTCCGAAAACTACATAGAGTCAATATATAAATATAATACAACAAAAGCCCAATGCACTGGGTCGAAAGTTATTGTGTCGCCAAATGAAGTTGTTTTGAATATTCGGACGGAAAGAAAAGTTCCAAAACTTGGATTGATGTTGATCGGATGGGGAGGAAATAATGGATCTACCGTTACCGCAGCTATTTTAGCCAACAAGTACAAAATAACGTGGAACACCAAAGAGGGATTACAGCATCCCAATTGGTATGGCTCTCTCCTTCAATCATCAACCGTCACTTTAGGTTTTAATTCAAATGGTGAACCAGTGAGTGTTCCACTAAGTAAATTACTCCCTATGGTACACCCGGAAAACATAATTTTGGATGGGTGGGACATATCATCGTTAAACTTAGCCGAGGCAATGCAAAGAGCTAAAGTTATAGATTACGATCTGCAAAAACAATTGATTAAATATATGCAAAATTTAAAACCCAGACCGTCAATTTTCTGTGATGAATATGTTGCACCGAACCAAGGAGATAGAGCAGATAATGTTCTTTCCGGATGTAAGTGGGATCAACTTAATAAAATTAGAGCAGACATAAGGGATTGTAAAGAAAAAAATCAAGTGGACAAAGTTATCATTTTGTGGACAGCAAACACTGAGAAATATTCTGAAGTTATGCCAGGACTCAATGACACTGCTGAAAATTTACTATATGCCATAAAAACCAATTCCCCATTAATTTCACCTTCTACCATGTTTGCAGTAGCAGCTATACTCGAAGGGGTGAGTCAGCAATTTACATTAATTAACATCAAATTAAATTTATACGAATCAAGGACTTACCCATTTCCCAAAATTTTTTCCAGTCTGCATTTATAAATGGGTCTCCACAAAATACATTCGTACCTGGTTGCATTCAACTAGCAGAACAACACAATGTATTCATCGCTGGTGATGATTTTAAATCTGGCCAAACGAAATTAAAATCTGTACTAGTTGATTTTTTAGTTAATGCTGGAATAAAACCAGTGTCAATTGTTAGTTACAATCATTTGGGAAACAACGATGGGAAAAATCTATCATCTCCTTTACAATTTAAATCGAAAGAAGTAAGTATGATTGATTTTTAAAAAAAAAAAAATTAAAATGTTAAGGTGTAAACTTACTCATTTGTTTTTTGATTTCCAGGTGTCGAAAAGTAATGTGGTCGATGATATGATTCAATCAAATCCTGTTTTATATAAGAAAGGAGAGAAACCTGATCACTGCGTCGTCATTAAATACGTTCCTTATGTTGGAGACAGCAAAAGAGCATTGGATGAATACACATCTGAAATTCTCATGGGTGGACATAACACGATTGTCGTTCACAACACTTGCGAAGATTCTCTTTTGGCTGCACCCATCATTCTCGATCTTGCTATCATAACTGAATTGTGCCAAAGAATTAAATTCAAAGTTGTCTCAGAATACAATTCAGAATATTTTGGTTTTAATTCCATTTTGTCCATTTTAGGGTACCTATGTAAATCTCCTCTCGTCCAAGGGAATACTCCCATCGTGAATTCGTTGAGTAGACAAAGATCGTGTATCGAAAATATTTTTCGTGCTTGTTTGGGTCTCCCACCTGAAAACAACATGCTTTTAGAATACAAATTACAAAAAAAAGCATTTCTAGCTACAGAAAATGGTATAAAAAATGGCGAAGCTCATTAATTACAGTCAAAAAAAAAAAAAAAAAAAAAATTACAATAATAATAATAATAATATGTGGCATACATTGTTATTACATATCAGTTACATTTTTATTTTATAGTAAAGAAAAAAAAAAAAAAAAAAAAAAAAAACTATTATTATTATTATTATTATTATTATTTGCTTTTTAATATTTTTTTCTTTTTTTTGTTTTTCCTAAAGCTCACGAACAAAATAATAATAATAATAATAATAATGAATAATTAATAATTGGAGTTTAAAAAGTGCCTCCCATTTATTTTCTCCTGTGACGTAACAAATTTTAAAATATACGAAACAGGTGTCATTGTTTTTAAAAAATTATTATTATTATTATTATTATCAGTAAACACAAAAAAAGTGATGATAATGCAAAACAATAATAATAATAATTTTCTATTACACTTATTTGTGATAAAAAAAAAAAAAAAAAAATGTATTACCAATATTTGTGATAAACAAAAAAATAAATAATTATTATATACAAATATATCATTGGGAGGCTTTTTTTTTTAAATAATAATAATAATAATAATAGAAAACATTTTGTTTATAATAATGTTTATGTGATTTGTTTGTTTTCTTTTTATAAATAAAAAAAAAAAATGTTTGTTTGAAAATTTAAATATCCCTGTGTTTATTAAATGGAGCTTTATTTATGTGATTTTTTTTAATTAAAAAGTTTAATTTTTTCCTTTTTGTTTGTCTTAAATAAATTTGTTTAATTTAATTTATGTAATTATTAATTAATAAAAAAATAAATAAGTTATTATAAATATGATAAAAAAATTATGTAAGCTTTTAAATGTTTTTTCATTAATTAAATTATTTGTTTGTTTAATTTAAATAAAATAAATTTTTTTTCTGTGTATTAATTTGCTTAATTCGGTTTTAGGTAGTTAATTATTATTATTATTATTTTTACAAGTTTTTTTTTTTTTATCACGTGTTACCATTATTATTATTATTATTATTATTTAAAAAAATTATTGTCTAGAGTCATTATTATCTGTTAAGTTTTAATAAAAAATATTATCATTAAACGATAAATAATTTTGTTAATTTTTTTTTTATTATGGATTTTTAACCATATTAAAATCCTTATTAATTTGTTTATAATCGATTTCCCCCCGCACTCCTTCTCCTCCCTCCCCCCCCGAAAAAAAAAATAAATACGTGTACGTGCACGTGTACGTCGTTTGCATTATTCATTTGAAATATTAATAGTTTAAAAAGAAATTAATTCAATTCGTGATTATTATTAGTTTTTTTTGTTTGTTCGTTTGTTTGATATTTATTTATTTACAAAAATTAAATTGTTTTAAATGTTTTAAAATCACGTTCGGTTAATTTGTTTAAAAAAAAAAAAATGGTCGTTAGATAAAAAATAAAAAAAAAAAAAAAATTGAAAGCTTTTTTCAAGGGCAATACGACGACGACGACATATTGGATTATTTTAATATGTGACTTTTGTTTATATGATTTTTTAAAAAAATCTATTTGACTCGCACAAATGTGTGATTAACATTATTCAACCTTGAATTTCTTTACAAAAAAAAAAAAAACAAATTTTTGACATTTTAAATTTGAATTTTTAAAAAAAAATTATTAAACAACTTTTCCAAAATGTTTAAATAATAATAATAATATTTGATAAAATTTCCTTATAAAAATTTCGTACACGTATTATTTGTTTTTAAATTTTTTTCCCCCTTAATTAATTAAAATCCATTTGTTAAATAAATAATAATAATAATAATTGAATTTTTTATGACAACAACAAAAAAAAAAATTAACAGTCAATTATTATTATTATTATTACGATTTAATAATAATAATACACGTGTTCACCTTGAATATGTTAATTATTGTAAGGTCATCTTCTTTAAAAACATTTTTTTAAAAATAATTAACATTAATAATAATAATAAAAATGTCGTGTCAAAAACATAAACATAAAGAAAAATTTAAATAATAAAAAATCCCCATCTAATTTAAATAATATTTGTTAATAATAATAATAATAATTTCCGGTTGTTCGTTCGATATTGGCAAAACGCGAATGAATACCTAGAAAGGTAGAATAAAATCTGAAAAAAAATATCTTCGTTGGAGGAATATGTAGCCAAAGATGGTACGACCACAATCCGAGACCGGATATGGTAGTGGGTCCAGGCACGGTTCTGTACGATCAACAAATCCACGCTGATAGAACTGTTCCAGCCAACAAACCGGATATCATCCCGAGACATGGTGCTGAAAGGTGATGTAAATTAATTGAAGTATCCGTACCGACGGAAAAAGGCACCGAAGAAAGAGCTTCAAGTAGCCAGGAGTGAAGGCAGAAACCATTCCTGTCATCGTGGGAGCATCACTGGGAGTCATTCCACATTCATCAAAAGAAAATCCAAAAAAGATTCTGAAGAATTGAAAAAAGAATAAACCGTAGAAGAAGTAAAATGGCCGACATTCTTCGACAGCAGCAGCAGCACCACCTACCACCACCACCATTCTTCGACAGCGCTTATCCCTAAGGAATCGGGTAGAAACCTGAAATGATAACTTAAAAAAAAACTCCGACGAATATTTAGAACCTTATCGTGTTGCGTCAAAAATGATAATAATAAAAAAATTACTAAATTTATATTACAGAAATAATAATAATAATAATAATTAATATTTAAAAAAGTAAAAAAAGTACCGAAAATTTAAATAAAATTTATTAACAAAAAAAAAAAAACGAAAAACGAAAAAATTCGATTATTTCATCTAATATTATTACATTGAACAAAAAAACGTTTCTTATCATTATTATCATTATCATTATTATTATTATTATTATTAATTTAATAAGTATAAATAATTGTAATACGATTTAAAACAAGTGTTTATTATATACGATCACGAATTAAAAAAAAAAAAAAAAAAAAATTAATTCTCGATATTTTCCCATTTGTCATTATCAAAACAGGAACGATATGGAAAAAAAAAAAAAAAAAAAATTTTCTTAAATCGAATAATAAATATTTACATTTTGCAAATCATTCCTTTTTTTTTTTGCAATAAAAAAAAATAATAATAATAATAATAATAATTTGAGTACATATTTACTAAAAAAAATTATCTTGAAAATAAAATCAGTCTTTGGATTCGTTTTCCCCTCCCTCTCCGCCTCCCTCTTCCCTCTCCCCTCCCATCCTCCTCCTCCTCCCCTTCCCCGCCTCCTCCTTCTCCCTCCCTCCTCCCCCTTACCCGCCCCCTCCTCCTCCTCCCCGAACGGGAGAAAAAATATGATTAGGATTATTTATAAATATGCTTGCCAACCGTGAAACAACCGGCAAAGATTATTTGGATCCGTCGCTTGTTGCACGAGGTAACTAACTTGTCCTTCAACGTTTGTCGCGACGCACCCGATTTCGGTACCGAGTAATTTTTGTTTTAATCTTATGAGTGCTCTTTCCGCCATTTTGTTTGTTTCCACGCACTCTCTCGACGATGATTCTAAAAAAGAGCAACGGAGGAAAATAATAAATTTTCTATCCTGCCATAATAATAATAATTATTATTATTATTATGTAAATGAACGTGGTTCGCACGCGGACGTTACGCAACAATTTACTTTAATCTTACTTTCTGAATTTCCAGAACAGGTTTCTTTATGACCTTGAAGTGAATAAGCCTTTTCGGGTGTTATGGTCCAGGCATAAAGCGGATCGTATAATAATACTTCGAGCAACGTCAATATTATATCCTTATTATCCCTTAAAACTTTCATCGTTTTTATCGAGGATATTCGAAAATCACCCTCCGCAGCTCCCGATAAACCCATACCTGGAAAAATCATAATCATTATTATTATTATTATATTTTTTTTTTCCTCCTTAATAAAACTTAAAAGGAAAAACATTTTTAAAGTTCAACCGTAGAAAATAAAAAAAAAAAAAAAAATTTTCCATTCCTTATTTGGTAAAATTTAAAATTCATTCCAGAACAAAAAAAAAAAAAAAAAAAACTGGAATGAACTTTAAATTTAACTTTTATCGCATTTTAATTTAAAATATTTATTTGGGGGACGAGCGTGGGGGAGGAGGGGGACGGGGGGCGGGGGGAAATTAACCGCACCTAAAAATTTATATAAAAAAAAAAAAAAAATTTTGCCATGAAAATTACAAGGTGAAGAAAATTTTTTTTTACTTTTCCGCCATCATTGGTGTCACTTAAGCTAGAAAAAAAAAAAGAAAAAAAAAAACAATTTACGTATTTTATTATTAATTTCATAAACATTTAATTAAAAATTATAATAATACGTTAATTAAAATTTTTTATGTATGTATATTTAAATTACTGCGATAATAATAATAATAATAATAATTATGCATAACAATCGGAAAGAAAATCACGTTTGAAACGTATTAAATTTTTTTTTCAAGGGGAAAACCGTGACAATAAAATAAAGTTCAGATAATAAAAAAAAAAAAAACAATAAATTCTGAACAATTACAATGGATGAAATTCCAGACTTGAAGAAAAAAAAAATTGTTTGATTACCGTCAACGATATCTCGCGTCAGTCTGAAAGGTACCGTTTCCGGTATGGGCAAAGCTTTTCCCTGTTCGAACGCGATACCCAAATCGATGTGTATCAATTCAGCCGTCGAATTATCGATTAGTATGTTATTAACGTGCCTGTCGCCGATTCCTAATACGTACCCGATCATGGATGACGTCGCAACGCTGAAAATTCAAAAAGGAAAATTATCGGAGTCGTAGTTTTGAATTGTTTAAATTATATTTTGTTGCTTTACCTATGCACGTAAGCCAATCGTCTTTCGAACCACACTCCAGGAGCTGTAAATTTTTCCAGAAAAAAATTATGAAAAACGGGATGAAATTTATCGCAAATTTCCGTGAAAACGTTCAATTTATCCCGATTCGTCGCGTCGGGTTTGGCGAAAACCTGAAAAAGAAAAAGAAATCACATTAAAACAAAATTATTTATTATGTTGTCGGGTAGTAGTTGTCTGTAATCATCCACCCTAACCTTTCTAATCATGGCTCTGCACTCCGTTGGGAGTATATCTCCCGGATTGTATTTTTTATGCGCTCCAGATTTTCCATCGGGACCCGTTAGGTATAACGATAGGGGTTGCGTATTTTCGCACCATTCGATGATTCCACTTCTCTGCGATAAAGGCACGACTTTGTAGGTTCTTATAACCAATTTTCGCTTTTTAGTTTCCCCATTTTCCGACAGCAAAGCGTTCATGATTGTGAAAACTTGTTGCATCACAGCATCCTGTCTGAGATCGTCTTTTCCTTTGACTAGTAACAGTCGTCCGATGCCATCCGAACCGATGCATTTAATTCTTTTCGGTAAATTAATTCCTCCGACCAAATAATAACTTTTATCGAATTTATGAACCGTTATGACGTTTTCGTATCGTAGGTTTTTCTCATGCGGAAGGTTTAACGATGGAAAAGCTACCGTGGTTAACCTGTTGATTTTTTTTAACTTTAACCTTTCGGGTACTTCGATTTCGCAATTTCCCGACACTTTTTCACAAATGTTATAATTGGCTAATTCTATTAGAGCGCTCGTAAAATTTTCCATTTCCCCGATAAATTTTTCGAGCTTCTTTTCTTTCTGACATTTGTTTAAAATACTTTTTGCCGTTTCCACTCTTGGAGTCGTGATGGCGGTACTGTTTTCGATATATTTCAAATCCTCGTACGAATTTTTCAAAGCAAATAAATGAGGTAACGTGTGAAACGGATGATCCTGAAGGATTTGTTCTGAAATGAAAAAATCGTGGAGATAGAAATAATAATAATTTTTAAATCAGGCAAATGATTAACTTACCCACAAGACTGCTAATCAAGCATACGTCTGCCATTCTGGGTATCAGTTGGGGGAGAAGACATAGAAATTTATACGTTGGAATTTTTTGTAGCATATTTTTTAATTGCGATATAACTTCTTCGTTGTTAGAATTCGATAACCAAATAGAAACAATTCTAAAAACTAACAAATTATATTTTTCTCCTTCTTTTAAACATAATAAATAATATTTTAGACAAAGATTAAGGTAAGAATCTCTTTCCATCAAATTATTTTTTATTTCGTTTTCGTCTATGACGCTTTGACGAGCTGCTATGTGATAAGCCATTCTTTTCTCCCTGTTTTGATTCCATCCCAACTCTTCCCTCAATTCCGATGCTAAATCCTGTTGCGTGTTTATCAAACTTTGTTTCGCTTCGAATGTCGGCGAAAGTAAATATTCCTTTATTTGCTCGTAATTACTATCCGCGAATTTTGCCAAAGATGCAAACGAGTCAATCAAATTTTCACTTTTCCTCGATTCCGAAATAGAATTTAAATAATATTTTTCGATAATTTCCCGAGGATTTTTCGACTTTGTTCGCGCCATCCAATCCCCGTAAATTCTCAAACCTTTCGTTTTCGATTCGCCGTTTAATTCTTTATTTTTTATCAAGTGATTAAGCAAAAATCCTCCCACTTCCTCATCACCCTTTTCCCAAAAAATTCTCGCTCTTTCTAATTTTAATTTTTCCAAAATATCTTCGGGTACGTCGTTTAAATTATTTGCGCAGCTTAACATTCTCACCGCGGTTTCGTATTTCCTTTCCTTTCTCGCCGCAACGATTATCTTATGATAAATTTGACACAACGTCGAGTTTAAAATATTTTTCAAATCGGCATCTTTCATTTTATCCAACGCTATTTTAATAAATATCGTTCTGCTGCTCCAAATCGTTTCGTTTAAATTAAAATCGCTGTATTTGATGATCCCATCCTGTTTACTCCATTTTCCGAATAAATTTTTCAAATCATCCCCGTTCGAATTCTGAACGACGGTAATAAAATCTTCCAATTCGTTAAAAATTTGAAGTTCTGCCAAAGGCGCATACAAATTTTTACTACTCTCCAAACTGCAATCGCTTAGCTTGTTGATGATTATTTGTCGTCCTTTTTGTATTTCGTCGTGAAACGTGAAATAATCGTCGTTGCGAAAAGCTTTCAGCGAAAAATAAAAACTCTTTTCGAAACTGTCATTATTCCTGGAATTCGTGTCCAGGAGCGACCAATCGGATAAATGAGCAGAGCATTTATACCGAACGGATGACGTTAAATTCGAATCCTCCCTTTTCCCGGTTTTAATTAAATTATCGAGAGTGTAGTACATTCCCGAACGTTCCAATGATTTTATTAATCCGCTTTCGTAATTTCCATTTCCCATCGATAATTGAATGTCGTGATACAATAAAGACATGTTCCAATTTTCCATCCGATCGTAATGTCGGATCACGGTTTGCGTATCGAAAACATGCGTGAAACTGCATCCTTTCACGCCGTCGACGTTTCCTATTTTAGTATGACATTCTCTTAGTATTTCGATCAATGCGTGACCTTCTTTCGGGTACCGTTCGAAAATACCGCCGATATCTGTTATGTGTGGATCATTTTTTTTCTTATCTTCGTACCAAAGTTCCGCATAGAGTATGGAAGTGAAATAAGCCGAACAATACACGGCCGCTTTTGAAATGTTTAAAAAATTTACATTCGAGAATAATCTGGAAAATTAATAAAAAAAAACGATTAAAAATTTCATTTCATTTTTCAAAATAATAATAAAAAACAACAACACGTACTCTGAGTAAGCGACATGATTTTTTTGCATTCGAATGTAATCGATGACGTTTAAAACGCATTGAACCGTTTGTTTATTAAAATCAATCATCATCGATTTCGAATTATCGAAAGTGAAATTTTTTTCGAAAAAAAATTGAAAACTTTTAATTAAAACGTTCGTGCAAATTTTATCGCAAGAGTTTAAAATTAAATCAAATATCGAAACAAGTATTTTTTCCGCAAATTGCCAATGAACTTGTATTATTTTTCCAAAAGATTCCGTTATCCCTTCGGCATCCGCCAATGATTCCAACATGGCTTGAACAAAATCGACGATCCATTTTTTATGATCGTTTAATGTCAACCAATCGTTAAAACCTTTCATTTTATCAATGAGCACGGCTCTTTTTATTTTAAATTCCAAATTGACAGAGCCTCGAGTCACGAATGCTTCCAAATATTTAAAATTTAATACATTCGTATTGTTTTTTAATACTTCCGTCGACTGACGAGTTTTTAAAATTCCATGTAAACAATCGGACGCAGCCTTTTTGACGTGGAAATTGTCACTTGTGACAAGATCCGACAAAACCGTTAATGAGGTTTTAATTAATGTATTTATTGCGTTGCCCGATTGCATTGAAATTAAAAAATTATTTTCCGGTGTTAAAACTAATGTCGTTAAATCTGATGACCCGATTTCACCCAAACATTTCCCCGATTCCATTTGAACCTGAATATAAAAAAAAAAAAATCCGAATGAATATATTATAATTTTTTTTTCTTCTTAACGTGCGAATAATTAATTTCTTACGGTTAAATTTTTATTCGTAGTCAATTTGATCAAAATGCATATTAATTGATGTATCAAACTATTTTTGCAGTCTTCTGAAAACCCCCTCAACCCGGTCAATCCATCGTAGATGTCTTTGAGTTCATCTTTCTTCTCGACAAGATTTCGACGAAGGTACATCAAACCTTCTATTCGACAATCCGAATTTTCCTTACTGTTCCCTTTTATAAAATTCTGTATGACGTCGATTAAATTTTTCGAATCATTTTGTTTCTTTCCCATTTGTTTATTGATCGAATTGAAAATTTCATCCGATGGAAAAGGATCTAAGAAAATTATATTTCCTTCCAGTTGCGAATAATTTTCGCACAACAAATATTCCAATACTTCCAAAGCATTTTTATTTGAGCTCACCGCTATGGGCGTTAATGAAGCCGTTATCGAGGGTAAAAATTCACCCAAAGTCGCATTGAGACCGGACAAACAATATTTAGAAATTATTTTTATACATTTGCAAGCCATATTTGTAAGCGTTTGATAATCGTCGCGCCGAATCATGGCAATCAATGTAAAAACAACGTCGCGAATGAAAAAAACGTTGAACGTTTCCAGTCGGCCATTTTTAATTAAACCTTTTGTTAAAATTTCTACGAAAAATATGTATTTATGAAAGGCGTATATTTTATCTTCGTAAAGATTAACTTCTTCAATATTTTGCCTCAGGTAAATCAAAATACGTTCGATCACGTGTGGTGAATCCGCGGCGAAATTTTCCAACACGTGTACGACACCTCTTGTAGAAAATTGATTAAACACGTTTAATATTTCTTCGCAAGAATAATTTGCTAAAATTTTATAATCCTCCAAATTTCCATGGAAAATACAAAATTTCGAAAGATGTTCCGGATCGTGTAAATATTCCAACATGATAAAAAAAATTTTATCGAAATGATCACTGAAAAAAAGGGTTGAAATTTTAACCGATAATTTGCCCTCCAGTAACGATTTTATTTCCAGTGCTCTTTCACTCAATTCCAATTTAGATTCGTTAGATAATATGAGTAAAGCGTGGGAAATTAGCGCTGGAAAACATTTTTCTAACAGGTTCGTAACCGGTATATTTAATTTCGTCGATATGACATCCATCATGTCGAATTTTCCGACGAATGAATATATCAGTATTAGTTTATCGTAGGAGAAAAGAAAAAATTCTTCCAAAGTTCCACATCCCAACAGGTTGTAGGGAAAATTCTGAAACGTTATTTTATAATTAATTAAAATTAAAAAAAAAAAATTGTGTGTATGACGTAAAATTATTACCTCGATCAAAAGTTCTTTTTCGATCCATTTATTTAATAAATACAGCAAATGATTTTTTAAAAAAAAAATTGGATTATCGATTTTTAAGTGCGAGCATATTAATTTTATCACGTTGTTAACATCGCCTGAAAAACATTTAATTAAATTATATCATTAAAAAAAAAAAAAACCATTTTCTATCTTATTTGACTCCACTTACTCGAATTTATTTTTTTTTCATTGCTCGAAAAATAAATCAAATAAAAAAGTGAATTTTTTCTCCAAAATTTACTCGAACAAATTATATTTGCTAATGTTAAAAACGTCACGGCAGATGTTACGTATTTGGTATATTTTATAACGTTTTCTTCTCCCTGTCCTTCGTAAAGATCCTTATACTCATTAAAGATGGATAATAAATTTTTAAACATTTTACGCTGGAAATTTATATTCGAATCATTTTTATCATTAACGGTTTTTTTAAATAATATTCCGACGTGTTTAGCAGCAGACAATCTGACTTCGTGATATGGATGTTTTAAAAGTTGAATTATATCTTCGTATATTTTGCAATTAAAAGAATTTCCATCGGGTATCATCCAAGAATTTTCCGAATCGTATTTGAAAATTTCGTGTAAATAATTTATGTACGCGGTAACGGTTTTAACGCCGCCATTGTTTTTTTCCAAAATAAGACTTCGAATGTTAATAATTATTTCCATGTATTTCAATTTAACATTTTCATCATTTATTCTACTCATCAAAGGTAAAAATTCTTGCAAAATTTGAATTGTGACGGTTGTTAATTCCGGTTCATCATTTTGACCCGCGAAACATGAAGAAATCAAATCCAAACATTTAATTAATGTTGGAATTGTTATTCCATCGTATTTGGCAAAAGTATAAACGATTCTAAATACCTGCAAAAAAATAAACAACAATAAGTCTAAAGTTTTTTTTAAATAATAATAAAAATAATTAATTACCAATTGAACGTGAAAATTTGAATAGATTTTATTCATTTCACTATTTAATAAAATTTCAAGTAGATCCGAACATAAGGTAATTTGTAAAGCAGTATTATTATCAGTGGTCCAATTAGAATTACAAATGAATTGACATAAAAGTTCAGAAATGAAAATGTACATTTTTTCAATTTTAGTCAAATTTTGCGTATTGAATATTGTTAGGGTGCCAAATCGCTTGGAAAATTCCGAATCGTCCGTTACGAAAGCATTATCATAAAGACAATACTCTGAAATTTAAATGATATTGTAAATTTTTTTACCTTTTAAAAAGATTTAAAATAACTTTAAACTTAATTTATTCAAGTACCTGAACCTATATCATCGCTTGAATACCTGGAGAATAATTTAAACAAAAAATTTAATAATTTGTAGTCCGTGCAAACAGGTTTCCTTATCAAATTCCTTATTTTTACATGAAAATTCATCCTGTAAATCCTACATAAAGGTTCGATGTCAATAAAATTTTTTTCTAATCGATTTAAAACGTCTGTCGTACATGCGAATAACAATAATTTTAATTTTTCTATAAAAAATTGTGAAAAAAAAGAAATTTTTAATGTTTCCGATATGGAAATAATATGACACAATAATTCACAAAATCGAATGGAATTTTTCACGGTTGTTATTTTTTCTTCTTCTTCTTCTTTTTTGTGATTTTTTTCCTTCGTGAGAAAATTAAAATAATAATTCCAACGTTGTTCTGATAATTTAAATAAAACGTTTTTTAAATTGCTGTCGATTTTCACTAACGGATTTTTATTATTCGTATTTTCAGGTTTAACGTCAAATTTTACGTCTTTAAATGCTGTAGTCTTGAAATTACAAGATATTGCTCTGCAAAAATTACCAATACTCGAACGATTTTCAAAATCATCATCATCATTATTGTCATCGACTTCGCAGTTGTCGAATTTTCTCGAAATGAGAGTTATCAACAAATTTGCAAATTCTTCGGGAGGATAATTATCTTCATTTTGAAAAAGCCATAACAATAATTTTTCTTTTGTATTTTTATTATTTGAATGACACGAAGAATTTGTTTTAGGTCCGATAGATATAAATTCAGGTAGGGTACGAGTACGACAAATTGCATGCAATGTTTTAAAATTATCTAACGTTGGTTCTAAAGTATTGTTACAATACATCTCAACAACAGGATTTATATCACGTAAACATGATTGTTTGATTAGTATCCTTAACAACAAATGAATTTCATTTTCTGAATTAAGGTTCCTGAAATATTTAATATTTTTAACATCGATAAAATTTTACGATTGATTGAAATTAAAAAAAAAAAAAAAGGCATGATCGCCACGTACCTGAACAATTCTGTTGTTAAATAACACCATAATTTATTTATTATTTCAAAATTATTGGCAAATAATGTTTTTTTTTGTACCATGCGGTAAAGACATCTAAAAAATTTATATTTAGTTACAGAAAATGTTTATACATAACAAATTTTTTTACAAATAAAAAGTCTAAATTACTTTAGTGATGCTTTTGTACTTGAAATATTATTTTTCTCGCTGCAAATTTGACACAAAAGTGTAATTATATCCTGTTCCTTACATTTTAAATCGTTTGGATATTTAACGATAAATCGCTCTAAATATCGAAACCTAAAAAGTATAAACTGAAGCAATCATTTACACATTTTTAATATTAAAATAACAAATTTTTTTTTTAAATTTTTCATAAATTAAAAATAAAGTTTACCAGAATAGATTGCTGTTTGTTTGTAAATTAAAAATTAAATTTTCTATTACGTTTTGATATTTCATAACTTTTTTCTGACTAAAATTTAAAGATTGGCTAAAATCTGTCATAATGCATTTCCTTTTGTTATTAAAATCAGGTTCATCATATGAAATATCATTATTATGATTTCTAGAAAAATCCTTGAGATCATAATACAGTACCTAAAAGTAATAAATGAAAGAATTTAACACAAGAGGAAAATTCAGTCATTAATTTTAAAGTTGATAATTCATCTTACCAAATGTGACACTTCGACGAATAAATCTAAAAAATCAATTTCAATAATACTTCCATATTCGTTAAAGAAACATTTTAAATAATCAAGACATATTAAATAAATATCAATTATTTGGGATTTCCAAATTTGTAAATTACAAGCATATGACAAATTATCGCTTTTACAAGTTTCATTCGATTCGTGAACATGTATTGATGTGATTAAATAGTGGAATACTAACACTATGAAATCGATATGTCTTCTCTTGTAAAATCTTAAAACATTATCAAACATTTTTTCCATAAAGTCGCAAACTTTAAATCGAAATTCCACAGCTAATTGAAGGCACAACATGTTTGTTAATTTCAGTAGGGAAACTTCAAAATTAAAACCAAAATCCTTATTGCTAATAAATAAATTTTCGACGAAATCAAAAACGTCTAAAAAACATTTACAACTAAGAGAATTTTTAGAACTGTATTTAATTATGTCGCATAAATTTTCAATAAGAATTAAATTTGATATTCCAGGTAGAGGATTATTGAAATATTTTATGCAAATATTTTTCATTCCTGAAACGAAATGTAAATCATATAAAAAAAATTGTAATGATTGTCCTTTGAAAAATTAATGTAAATTAAAAGGCAAAAAAAATTACCCATCCAACTTTCTTTTTTTAATCGTATCCAGTTTTTTCTTTCAGTCAATATGAATTTGTTAAATATTTGTAAATAGGTTGATCCGAGAAGTATGGCATATTTATTAAAATTAAAAACTGATAAAATATGAGAGACGGTTTGATTGCAATTAATTAAAAATACCTTTTGGGAAAATGATTTTTGAACTATTAACAATATTAAATTTTGTATCAACTGAGACAATTTGTCAGGTAATTGCTTTCCTTTGGCATCATAACCGTCGATTAAAGATAAAACTGAATTGTGAACTTTTCCAAATAATGTTTCCCAATTACATGTGATATTTTTTAAAGAATTTTGACAAAGAACATGAAGTATTTCTTTCTGATTTAATAAATAACCTAATTGTTCTAAAGCGTACTAAAATAAAATAAAAAATTAATTATTTATTCAATATGTAAAACATTAAAATTAAATAAAATTTATTAGCTTACAAGTTTTTCTTTTTTTTTAACGGAATTTAACGATAGTGTAATTTTGTTAAGAAGTTTTTGAGGATCATTATCCATCTAAAATAAAAAAAAAAAATCATACCTTATGTAAATTTTAATATTTCAAGCAATTAACCGCGATTAAAAAACACACTTGGCGTTATTTTATATTAAACGAGTTTAAAATTAAAAAAAAAAATTAAATTAAAAACTCACCATTTACACCTGTCTAAATTCTTCCTACTGGTGAAACGTATAATTTTAACGGCATTACAAAATGTATGACTAACGAATAACAATATAATAATTACATTTTAACAAATAAGAATTATTAACATTAAACAAATTAAACTAACGATTTAATAAACTTAAAATATTTTAAATTAATTTTCTTTTTTCTTCTTGGTGCACCATCGAAATGACAGCTAGAAAGAAATTTTTTGTACAAAAGTAACCGCCTTAACAATCTAAAACCACTTTGTCGCCAACTTAAAAAGACAGCAAACAAACATAAAAATCCGTCGTAACGGCGGTTTTTTATACATTCGTAAAAGCCTATTTATTAAAAAAAAAAAAATTTATCTATAATAATAATCAGACATAATTAATTTACTTTCATTATTCAATTTGATAAATAAAACAACTTAATTACCTTTTAAAACAACTTTTGAACATGATATTTTAACAAAATGAGCTTAATATTACTAAACATTTTAACAATATGGCAAACAAACATCATTTGTCTATAAACAAAACAAAAATTTTTTTGTATCCACTAATTTGTATCATTTTTGTAGGTACTAAAATAAAAAAAAAAAAACATAAATAATACATATTATATAAAAAAAATTAAATTGTATTTTACCAATTATTTATACACAATTTTTACTATATATATATATATACAATTTAAAATCAAATTATTATTATTATTATTGTGTTATATCAAACATCAGATAATATTTGATGATTAAATCAGTCTTTACTCAATATATATTTATGATTATAATAATAATAATAATAAAAACAGGAATTTAAATTATTAATAAATAATAATTATTCATTAATCCATTAAAAAAAAATATATATATATATATAACCCTAATTATTTATAATAATTACAATGATAAGTTGTAATATATATATATATTTTTAGAACATTAATATATATATTATTTTTTTAGTTTATAATTTAAAAAAAAAAAAAAAATTAAACAACAAAAATCAGATAGATACAAAGCACTACTACTACTACATATCAGTACCGGCTTTATTTATTTATTTATTTTTTTTTTGCACAGCCCAAAAAAATTATAAACTATATAAATTAAAAAAAAAAAAAAATTGGCATATTGATACAATTACACTGATATTAAATTAAATTTTTAAAAAAATTTTCTTTCTTTTCTTTTCTCTTTACTACTACTAATAATAATAATATTTTTTTAAAAACAAACAATAATAAATTATTAATATAATATTTAAGAAATTATCATTATCATTATCATTTTTTTTTTTTTTTGTATTTTTTATTTTTCATCCTTTTAATCCTTATTTAACACCATCAAAAAAAAAATTAAATTATAATTTTTATTATTATTATTATTATTATTATTACAGTAATTTTTTTTTTTCATTATTGCATAACATTAAATTATTATTATTATTATTATTATTAAATCTATGAAAAAAAAAAAAAAAAAAAATTAATAATAAAAATTATTTTGATTCGTAGCAGAGAAATCGTTAGACAGATAGAAAAAAATTTTTTAATAATAATAATAATAATAATAATAAATAAATAAATAAATAAGAAAAACATATTTAAATTTATTTATCATAATCAAATAAATTTTAATATGAGTATAAGAAATTATAATATAATTTAATATTTATTACTATTTATTTGTGCGGCATATTTTTTTTTTAAAATTATTTAACACTTTTTTCTTGACTTATTATTATTATTATTTTTTTTTTTTTGTAATTTTTTTTTTTTTTTTTTTTTTCTTAAAAATGAAATTTAAAGTCTATTTAAACTATTAATCATTTTTTATAAAAAAAAAACACATTTTTTTTGTTTGTTGCAATTAAGGGAAATTTAGTTATTTTAAATTCAAATTGATTTCATTATTCATTTTTCATTTGAATAGTCTTCTTCTCTTAAAAAAATTAAATTTATTTGTTTGTTTTTATTCAACACGTGCGTTTGCACGTTCAAAACCGGTTAGTAAGCACTAGCGAATTGTGCCATCATCCAAATTTGAACAGCCTATTATTTGTATCAAACAACGACCGAATTCTTCTATTATTAATCTTTCACCCTCTTCGGTACTCAAACCGTTTCTTTCCGACTCCTCTGCCTGAGCCAACAAACACTGACAAGTGGCTTCCACGACTTCGGAAGACATAAAATTATACGGTTGCTTCATGGTCGATCCCGTGGATTGGGGTCTTATGATGAAATCCGATTTTTGTTCGGAATTGAACGTTTCTTCTGCTGCATCGGCCAATTCTATAAGACTACTTCGAGTGCCTTCCAAAAATTCTTCGGTGTTTCTGCATCCGATGCATTTGCACGATTTCGAACAAGTGATTTTAGCTTCGTAGCATTCGCAGTAGTTTTTCAAACAACCCGAACGCTTGCAATGACAGCCCTTGTTGTGTCTTCTTTCGTCCTCTTCGGTTTCCCCTATTTGAATTTTAGGTCTAAATGCACATGGGTTTCTCTCCAAACAAGATTTTATCGATTTCTGACGAGCTTCCTCGTGTTCTATGTTATTGTAACAATTATTACAATTGCACTGGAAGCAAAATTCTCCATTTGCAAAACATTCGCAATAGAGTTTCAGACATTGCGAACGAGTGCAGTTGCATGGCTTCTTCATTCTGATTCCATTTGCCTCTAAAACTCTGTTGGGACTATTGGAACGGCAACCGTCACTGTCCAAATGATCTTTTTCAAAACTATCTTCTTCGTTCATGTCGTTGTCCGGCGTGGGTTTCATCTTACCTTCGAAATTTTCAGTAATATTTTCTCTATTCGCCGAATCGTTGTTTTGAATTTGATGAACTATTTCAGCGGGAAGCATGACAATAGAACCTTCAGAAACTACAAAAGATCCATCGGAGTTGGTTTGATTTACTGCCGAAACAGGAATTATCGATTCACCAGGTTTTAGCTGTATGCTTGAACCTTGTCCGGTTTTCAGCTGAGCAAATTGAGAATTAGTCAAAGTCGTTATGTTCCTGCCCTGTCTGAGTTGAGTCACAGCAGAGGAGGGTATAGCAGTGATACTTCCGGTATTTTTTAACTGCTGAAGCGCTGTAACCGGTACTGTTGTGATTGTTTGCATTTTGTCACAATTACCTTCTTCGCTCGCATTAGTGACATCGTTGGCTATGCACAATTGCGACATTCCTTGGGAGACAGGAATTAAAATTCGTTTTGTATTGCTTGAAGCGTTTGTCACGGAACCAGAGGGCTTTGGTAATACTGCCTTAACATTAACAGAATTTGGATTTGGAGCAATTGGAATGGCTTTAAAAGCGGTCGTGCCTACCGGAGCTTTTACTATTTTCGATTTGGTATTATTAATTACGGTAGAGGGTAAAGTACTTCCAGATCCACTCACAAATCTAAAATACTGTACTTGTTTTCCTCCACCGATTTGAACTGGTTGGAGAGTATTGGCATTGGTTGGAATTCTAATAACTTGACCTGTACTACTGGGATTAATGATGGTGCCGCCTTTCAAAGGTATCTGACCTTGACGAATAATTACTTTTTGAGGTCCAGGAAGGTTTTTAATTGTTCCAACCGGCTTGATAACATTCGAAATTCCAGACTGCCTAAGAGCTGTAATCGCAGCAACAGGAATTGGTCTATTAGTGTTAGGAATAGTTTGTATAGTTTTAAGCGTTGCTATTGGTACATTACCTCGAAGTGTTTGAATATTTCCCACAGAAACAGACCCCTTAACCGTTGTTAAAGACGGTCGAATGTTGCTTCCTTTAGAGGGAGAAGGCGCAGGTAATATCTTTGTGGGAGATTTGGCGGCATTTGAAGGCGTTAAGAGACTCGAACTGCAAGTAGGCACTATTTTCTTATAAATCATTCTTTTAGGGCTTGTAACGTTGCCGGTACTACATGATGGTATTATTTGTTGGATTTTTGCTCCAGATGGCAATAAACCTATTTGTTGTGCCTGTGCAAATGAAATAGATCTAGTCTGACCACTGACTAGCGATGAGCCACTACCAATTATTTTAAAAGGTTGATTCGAAGAACTATTCGATGATGTATTTCCCTGAATAATAACCTTTGTGAACATATTTTTTGCCTGCCCCGGACCAGGTATTAAAGGACGCTTCAGTGTTGATGGCACTGTACGAATATTATCAGAAACAAATTTTTTCAAGTTTACATTAGACTGATTCAACTGAAGTATATTATCTTTTGAAATTATTATTTTACCTTTAGTTTCATAAGGTTTAGTATCATCACTTCCCTCTTCAACTATGCTTTGAATTGATTCAACAGTTTCATTAATATACTCAGTTGGAATTTCACTTTCAGTTGTTTCAATAACTTGTTCTGATGCATTATATTCTACACCTTGAAAACTTGTTTCACCAAAAACCGATTCCCTAGAAAAATTTTGATTATCAGCCGCTTCAGATTGTTCTTCTTGAAAATATTCCTCGTGCACGACAGTTCCTTCCTCTACTTGCTCTTCAACTGGTTGTTTGTAATAAAAAGTTTTTTCAAATTGAACATTTTCATTAGCAAGCATATTACTTTTGATATTATTTTCTTCACTGACAGACTGTAACATTTCATTTTCATATGATTCAAAACCATCATCACTTTCTGTAATCATACTCTCTGTACCTAATATATTACTGTCTTTGATATTTCTTTTTTCACAAGGAAGGGGAAAGAATGATTCTTGACTAGATTGTTGATTTGTTTCAGTATCCATCGGTTCCGGTTCTTCAAACTCGCTGTTGTTGACACTGATGAAAGCTATTTCACTATTGCCATCAATTGCACTTCCCACAATAGAGGAACTTGCTTCGTGATCCTCTTGAAAATTATCTTCATTCTCATAATTATCCATTGTGATATCATTTTTATAAGTGCAGTCAACATTTTCGGGAGTAATAAATTGCTCATTTTCATCAAAGTGCTCATTACCTTGTATATCTTCATTTATATTAGGTAATTCATTATTTTCCAGTATTAAATTGTTTTGGGGAGAAATCTCCCTGTTTTCTAAAAAAAAAAAAAAAAAAAAAAAAAAAAACAATTTTTTTCACTAAGGAAAAAGGAAAATGATTAAGAAACCTTATGTGTAATTAAAAAATGAAGTTAAAAAGATATGACCATTGAATAAGTTAACAATTCCAAGTACATTGGCAATACCAAACGTTTAGGAAATTAAGAAATAAGTAGATAGTTTTACGAAATCGAAATCAATTTATTAATTATAGATTAAATATTAAATTTAATAAAAAAAATTAAAAAATTCTAAACTCTATTCGTTTTTAAATTATTACCGTTAAAATGCTAGAGAAAATAAATTTTAAACTTCCTTCATTTGAAGCTTTAGTACTTAATTAAATTTTATTAGGTTTATAGGTAAAGGTGTTGTTTGTATTTTGTTTATTATTAGACTTATTCTCGAATGCAGATATATATATATATATATATAATTTAATATTTAGTAAGGAAAAAAAATCCAAAAATAAAACAATTAAAAATTTTGTATTACCTTCAGGAGGAGGCATAGTGAATTTCAAAATAACGCGCCCATTATTTTCGTTGAATTCCGCTATACAATACAGTTATTTTAAATCTTGAGAGATAATTTCAAAACTTGTATTAAAATATATATATATATATTAAAATCCTTTGATTTTCTCCAATTTTTACAAAATTCTTAATGCCAACCAAAATTACATTGAACCGAAGCAAAACCTTATTTACTACAAAATTAAGAAATTACTTCGCGGTATTTTATATAATAAATGATGATGCTTTCCAATTTTCCCAAAATGGAGTTGCAAACCAAGAAAAATGCAACACGCGGCAAACAAAGTCGTGGCATTAGTGAAAAAAGAGAATTCTGTCGTAAAAGTCAAAAAAAAAAAATAATATTATAATTCACATAAATCAATTTGAGTAGTTTGCGTATTTATAATTCTTATTCACTCCTGTAAATAAAATCAAATAATGGTTAGTGCTTCTTCAGTACGTCAACAATTGTTGGCTTTGGGCAATCAGGGAGGTTCTCACAAAGATCAAGTTGAAAAGTAAGTGCATCCAATCGTATAAATTTTACGGTTTAATGGAATTTTTACGATTAGTACTTCGGTATATCGTTTTTCGTAAACATTTAAATTTTACCCTTTTATTGCAAAGGTACAGAGCAATTTTGGATGTTATACTGACGTCACCGGCCCACGAAATAAACGACTCTTTAAGAATTTTCATCGAAGCAAGTAAGTCTTACATTTTTTTTTTACTTAAATTACATTCTAACTTTTTCATTCAAATAACATCATCAAATATATTGCAGTTGTCAATGAAAATGTTAGCTTGGTAATATCAAGGCAAATATTAACGGATGTAAGTGCCCAATTAACAAATCTACCAGATAATGTCTCTAAATCGATAGCGCATTTCACTGTTGAAAAAGTTCAACCTAGAGTTATTTCGTTCGAAGAACAAGTCGCAAGTATTAGACAACATTTAGCTGAAATTTATGAAAAAGAACATAATTGGAGAGAAGCTGCAAATGTTTTAGTGGGAATCCCATTGGAAACTGGTCAGAAGTAAGTTCAAATATCAGTAGTAATTTTACCTTCTAAATGAATTTAAATTAATAAAGATTTAAAACTTACATAAACTTAATTTTTATCCAGGCAGTACTCGGTTGAATATAAACTGGAAACATATTTAAAAATTGCAAGATTATATTTAGAAGATGATGATCCTTTGCAAGCCGAGGCCTATATTAATAGAGCATCACTTTTACAAGTTTGTTTAGTTTTTAATATTTTACAATGAATTGTTAAATTTTACAAGCATTGATTGATACCATTATGTAATAAAATTACACTCTTTTTTTCAAGGCCGAATCGAAAAATGAAGAACTTCAAATATATTACAAAGTATGTTATGCAAGGGTTTTAGATTATCGTAGAAAATTCATAGAAGCAGCTCAAAGATATAACGAATTATCTTATCGCACCATAATTCACGAAGATGAAAGAATGACCGCATTGAAAAATGCATTGATTTGCACAGTTTTGGCATCTGCGGGTCAACAAAGAAGTCGAATGCTTGCGACATTGTTCAAAGATGAAAGGTGTCAAACATTACCAGCATATTCTATATTAGAAAAAATGTATTTAGACAGAATAATTAGGAGATTTGAACTTGAAGAATTTGAAGCTCTCCTTCAACCTCATCAAAAAGCCAAAACCGGTGATGGTAAGTTTTATCGTCTAAAAAAAATTATTATCATTAATTTTTAAAATCATGCCGATGGTAATTTTTTCCCCCCAAATATTACATCAGGTTCGACGATATTGGATAGAGCAGTCATAGAACACAATTTATTATCGGCTAGCAAGTTATACAACAACATAACATTTGAAGAGTTGGGTGCATTGTTAGAAATACCAGCTGCAAAAGCGGAAAAAATAGCAAGTCAAATGATAACAGAAGCTCGTATGAATGGTTACATTGATCAAATCGACTCCATAGTTCATTTTGAAAGTAAATATTCGAAATTAGCATTTAAATTAACATTCTCTTACAATTATATCTAAAAATACAATAATTATCACGTTATATAGCTAGAGAAGTACTTCCTACTTGGGATAAACAAATTCAATCACTTTGTTATCAAGTCAATCAAATAATTGAAAAAATATCCAACACGGAACCTGAATGGATGACGAAAACAATGGAAGAACAAATGGTTCACTAAATATCATGTATTTTATCATGCTAAGCTAAACAATAAAAAATTTCTATTAAAAAAATGATTAAATCTTTCCTACAGTTGTTTTGTATAAACATTTGAATTTGAATCCTATGCAATTACTGAAAATTTCTTGAAAATAAAAAAAAAATATTATATGTATTATTCACTCTGATGATTTCTTATTTCATCCCTAAATTAGAAAAAAAAAAATAAAAAATTTTTCATCGAGTTTTGTTAGATATTCATTAGTTAAGGATTTTAACAACAAAAAAAAGTTAAATTTCAAACTAAACTTATTTATTTCTGAGCAGCAATTATATTGTTAGATGCTATAAAAAAAAAAAAATCTAAAATTAATATAAGTAAGTATTCAACAGAAAAACAGAAAAAGAAAACTTGTTTAAAACCCACCAATATACACTATAATGAATAAAAAAAGGCACAAAAATTTCATAACATTTTATCATAAAAAAAAAAAAAAAAAAAAAAAAAAAAAAAAAAGGTAAAATAATAATAAAATTTGACAAAAAAATATAAAAGGTAATTTTTTATTACTTAATACATATTTCTTCTATTAAAAGAAAAAAAAATATGAAGTGTAAAATGTTTTCAAAAACATACATCAGCTGCTTAGCACTAAGGCTCTTCTCGAAACCTAAATAAAAACAAAATTTTTTCAATAAATTCATCATTAACTTCATGTAAATCATTTAAAGCTGTAAATATTATGTGTGCTATTTATACATAAATATATAGTTTTCCTTTACTGTGAAATATTATTTAAATATACTCATTTTGAAAAAAAAAAAAAAAAAAAAAAAAAAAAAAAGGGAAAAGAGATAAAAAGCAGCTAATTTTTTTTTTTTTTTAGTATTTAATGCAATATTCAAATTGCTTATAATTAGTTTTGGGAGAGAAAAAAAAAAAAAAAGAAAAAAAAAAGAAAAGAAAAAAAAAAAAAGGGTTTTTATTATTATTTTTTTTTTTTTCCTTATAAAACTATTTTATAGATTAGTAATCTAGTTTTGATCTACAAACAATTGCCACCTTTATATATATAATTAGGCTTCCATTTCTAAACCGATTCCATATTTATGTCCACCTTGATTGAAATTTTTAGCATCGATAAGAGTTGATAATGTTATAGTGATTCCATCTCTCAATTTCTGTTGATAACCCAATCCTATTTGACTGGCATTGTTAACTTTTGCTCTGACAGATGCATTACCATCTAATGCATATTTGCATCCAATTCCAAAACGAGTTTCATTGCTATCCGAGGACCATGTTAAATCGACAGCTGCTTCTAATACATCTGTGACCTTGTGAAAAACAGATCCGCTGTATAATTCTCCATTGTTAACAGCAGTGTGTAAGACAAAGTCAGAATGTAAAAACCCGAGAGCAAAATTGTTTGCAATCATTTTGGAATCGTTTATATCAAACTTGGCTTGATATCCCCCTACTATACCTTGATACCCAAGGACAGCTGCTGCTGTGAGATTTTGACCTTCCGAACTGAGTTCGAGCTCACCGTTTAATGCACAGATTTCATGCAAAAATGCCGCTTTTAAATGACCACTTTTACTACCAGTTTGCGGTGCAATCATGCAATCAGCAGATAATTTTAAGCCTTTCGCTATTTGATCTTGTAGTACAGCTTCGGTTACGAGTACATTGTCAGTGTTCCATTTTTCAGATATGGTAAAACCATAATCTGGCATTCTATATTTTGTTTCAAGGTTTCCAAAAACTGAACCCTTGTCTTGATGTGATACACAACCCGATGAAAATTCCACCCCAGATTCAGTCTTGGTTTTCACGTCTAATTTCAATAAACCAAAATGATAACCCTTGCCAAAAACATCCCGAGCTTGTTTTCCTAAATCAGCATAAGCTGGTGGTGCCATATCCTAAATTAAAAAAAGTTAAAATGCTAAAATAAAACTTTTTTTCTTTTTCTCATACTGTAGAAAAAAAAAAAAAATAAATAATGAATATTTTAAAATGGTAACCTAAGGGTAAAAAAATAATTAATTTTATAATCATAATTTTGTACTTGAGACTTCAGAGAGAGAGAGAGAGAGAGAAAAAAACATCATGGTTAAAAATAGAATGAATTAGTATTATAACAAATACATTTTTTTAATTTAAAAAGCCGGTAAATACGTTAAAAAAATACATTAAATAAATATTAAAAACGAGGTTAAACGATGAAATTATCTTGCCTCATGTTTTTTTTTTGTCTTTTGCTAAAAATTAAATCATCACGAGGGGGTCTGTAATAAAACGTTTATTATTTTTTTTTTCTAATTTACAACAGCAACAAAATCTGTGAAAAATATTATTAATAATCAATTCGATCACAAATATACAAATAACATATACAAAATACAATAATTTCCTTTTTAAAATACTCAAATTTTTTTTTTTTTTTTAATACGATGAAGCTCTGAGTAAGGGTCTCACTCAAAATTACTACGTCCCACTTTTTTTTTTTTTTTTTTTTTTTTTTCATCGTTTTTTTTTTTTAATAGGAAATTTCCGTGTTATAATCGAAATGGAAAATCAGGTATTTAACATAAATGTATAAATAAAATATTGTAATAGAAAAAAAAAACACTTACCTTTATTTTGAATTCGGGACTATTATTAAAATAAGAAAAATTAAAACGAAAATGATCTTTTCGCTATGAAACTGGTACTAGGAGAGAAAAATTTAACGCATGCGCAATTTAAATATCATTGATTTTCAATGCAAATATAACGTAGCAGAAGATAATTTTTCGACTTAATTCATTACAACAACAAAAAAAAAAAATCTATATTTCTAATGGCAAGTTTTTATTTATTGTGTAATCATTTATCATTTACGCAATTGTTGTTTTATTTTAAGTTTTTTTTTTTTTATTACTATTTTTTGTGTACGAAATAATTTTAAATTTTAAAAAATTAATTGTAAATATATATATAAATATATACACGTTAAAAAAAATATTAATGAATTTTATTTTATTTTTACCTCGCGCAACCGTTTTTTGCTGTCGTCGAAACAAACGAGTTAACTTTAACGATAGCAAATTTTTTAAACATTTTTCAAACTCTTTTTTTTTTTTTTTTAGTAAATCAAACAAAGTGTTATTTATCATTTCATTATTTTTTTAATTTAGTTTTAATAATAAGAAAATGAATAAAGTTAATTATATAAGAAAATATTTGTATTAATAAAAACGAATAAGAAAAAAGTCCGCCATTTTGAAAATTTCAAATCGATTTTTTTTTTATACAAAAAATAATCAAAATAAAAACTTTTTATAAAATTATTTTTTTTTATTAAATAAAATTTTATATATATATATTAAAATTCGTTTATTATTATTAAATAATATATATAAAAATATAATTTTATACAAAATAATATAAATATTTGTTTTTTTTTTTAAAAATATACACCGGAAATTTGTCTCACCGAGTTAAATAATAATAATAATTCAACGGTTTTTTTTTTTGTGGTGGTGGGGGAAGAGGAAATGATTTGGTTTAATCATTTCTCAGACGCCCAAACTTTTAAAATACAAAATAATAATAATAATAATAATTAAGAGTTCAAGGTTCGAATTGTACGGCTAATCCCAATTTATATTTTCCCTCTTCGAAATCCCTTATATCGAAAAGTACGGAAAACGTTAACGTGATGCAATCTTTAAACCTATGCTCGTAACCGAGTCCGAGTTGACTTAAATTATTTATTTTCCCTCTCAGACAAATATTATCATCCATTTGATACCGTCCACCCACTCCGAAAAGTATATCGGATTTTTTAAATATTGAATAAAGAAAATGAACTCCGGCATCGACTCTCGGTGACACTCTGTGAAAAATGGATCCCCCGCATTCCGTGCCGTTGTTAAAAGTTCCGTGAACGGTAAAATCATCTCTCGTGAAACCGGCGGAAAAATTAATGTCGTTTAATTTCGACGTCGTGCCATCGAATTTCGTCAGCATGCCTAAAAACACCCCGGTCAATTTGAAAACTCCCGATGCCGTAAACAGTGAAAATTTTCTTCCCAATTCCAATTTAGAATTTAAATTTAAAAATTTATTCGCCCATTCGGCTTCGATCGTTCCGACTTTATCACCGCTTCTCGGCGACACAGAACCCGACATTAATATTTTTAAATATTTAAACGGTTTGTTCCTACAGCATAATTCTGTCGTCACGACGCAATCCGTGTTCCATTTTTCCGTCAGGGTTAACGAATCGAAAAATTCGTATTGCGCTTCTAAACTCCCGAATAAATTTCTCCTGTTCAATCTTTCCACGCACGTTGTCGTAAATTTAACATTGTTCGGTGATTTCGTGACTATGTTTAACGACAGCAAACCGAAATTATAACCAGAATTGAATAATTCACGTGCTTGTTTTCCTAAATCGTTATAAGATGGCGCATTATTCGTTTCCTGTAAAAAAAAATAAAAATTAAAAATTAAAAATCATATCACCATCACCATCATCATCATCATCATAAACAATCACATCAACACAAACTCTATTATTATTATTATTATTTATATTATTTTTTTTTTGTAATTTTTTTTTTACAAAAACTAACCAAAAAAAGTAGTGGTAGTGGTAGTAGTAGTAGTAGTAGGTAGTATTTATATCCAATAATCCTTTTCCACTTTAGTGTTTTAGCTGGTGATCAACTTACAGTTCTGAATATGGGCGTCCTCGTTAATGTGCTTTGAAAATTTGTTAAACATTCTTCTAAAAAATCTGGCATATTCTTGTTAGCCATTTTTTTATTTATTTATTTATTTATTATAATTATTTATTTATTGACTTCATGTGGTCTTGTTTTCAATCTTTAATTATCGTCAAATGTTTATCCATAATAATAATAATAATAATAATAATAATAATTTTTTGCTATTATTCAGTTATTGTTATTGTTTTTTCCCTCATGGGTTGTTAAATTGAATATATATTTTTTTTAAATTTTAAATTTAAAAAAAAAAAAGAAACAAATGTCACTAAGAGTAGCAAGTAGTTCCTCTCTCTCCCTATCTCTCTCTCCCTATCCCCCCTATCCCCCTCTCTCTCTTTCCCCCCTATTCTCTCTCCTCTCTCTTTAATCCTTCTTTTAATGATATAAAATCCTACAATTAAATTTTAATATATAAATAAAATTAAATAATAATTATCATTACGTTTATCAATTTATTTTTATTCACAGATTTTCCATAGATTTCCCTAACGTTTTCCTAACTTTTCCGATTAAATTTTCCCCTTTAAATAAAATAAATAAATAAAATGGAAAATTCGAAAAGTGTAATTTATTTAAATTTATATATATATATATATATATTATTGTCGGATAATAATTTGATAATGAAAATACGTTCGTCTCCCCATTTTTTTTTCCTTTTTTCTTTTTTTTTTTTTGTAATGGCTTTCCAAAAATTTGACTGCGCAATATCCAAAACTTTTCAACCCTGAAAAAAAAAAGAGAAAATAAAAAATAAAAGATGCGGACAATGTAGAAAAGAGTGTTGTAGTGTACGGACGTTTCTTATTATTTGGCCAATATTCAAATATATTTCCTACGATAAATGTTTATTAATAATAATAATAATAATTTTTTATATCGCGAATCACGGTTATTATTATTATTATTATTATTAATTTTTTCTTACGTTAATTAAAACGCGATCGTTAAAGTATAATTAATAAATTATTATTATTTTTTTTTTTTTCTGTAGTGATTGATTGTGAAAAAAAGTTTTCATCATCATCATCATCATTTTTATTTATTTTTTATTAAATTATTTATATAGGTTTATGAGTGACGACGATAAATAATTAATAATATTAAAATTATTACCGTAATAAATAAATTTTTTTTTCAAATTCGACGACATGTATGGAATGTTATTAGAAAGTGTACAACATTTTTTACAAGTAAGTTTTATATAAATAAATAAATAAAATTATTATTATTAATAATAATTAAGTAATAAAAATATTCGCGTTATTCGTTTTTAAATGAATGAATGAATGAAAAATGATTTTAACGTAAATTTTATTACCCCGACAAACACCGACAAACCCCGACATAACTCCGACAAACCCCGACTTTACACCGACAAACCGCGACTTTACTCCGACAAACCCCGACAAACCCCGACAAACCCCGACCTTACTCCGACAAACCCCGACCTTACTCCGACAAACTCCGACTTTACCCCGACAAACCGCGACTTTACTCCGACAAACCCCGACCTTACTCCGGCAAACCCCGACCTTACTCCGACAGATCCCGACATTACCCCGACAAACCCCGACAAACCCCGACCTTACTCCGACAGATCCCGACATTACCCCGACAAACCCCGACAAACCCCGACCTTACTCCGACAGATCCCGACTTTACTCCGACAAACCCCGACATTACTCCGACAAACCCCGACATTACCCCCAACAAACTCCAACAAACGATAAATTAAATGAATACATAAAAAAGTTTTCTTTGGAAAATTTGCCAAATTTTCTCAAGGTCATTTTCCAAAGTCAACGACGCCATTTTTAAATTCTATTGCCAATTCAAATGATATTCTCTTCAATCGTCCCGTACCTATTGCTTAACAACCTAATTCGTTATTCATAAAATCTACTTACACGAAGAAAAAATTACTTTTTTTTTTTCTTTCTCATAGTTAGAATATGGAGAAGAAACGTGGAACGAGATAATTAAGGAATCAGGATGCGAATTCACCGTTTTTATGACGCATCAAACGTATCCTGATAATTTAATGACGAAAATTGCAGAATCTTGCGTTAAAATAATCGGACAAAACACGTCCGTGGATTATTTCATGAATTTTTTCGGAAGATGTTTCGTTCGTTATTTTAGTAATTTCGGGTAAAAAAAAAAAAAAAAACCTAAAAACCTAAAAACCTGAAAACCTGAAAAAAAAAAAAAAAAAAAATTAGTCTTTTTCTTTTTTACTTACATTACATTTACTTATTCAAGTTACGATCAAACGATAAAAGCCACGGGAAGATATTTTTGTGATTTTCTTCAAAGCGTCGATAACATTCATCTTCAAATGAGATTTACTTATCCTAAAATGCGTAGTCCATCCATGTACATAACGCATTTAGATTCGAATGGAGTTATTTTAATGTACAGAAGTTCAAGATGTGGTTTTTCCCAATATTTCATGGGTAATAATAATAATAATAATAATAATAATAATAATAATAATAATAATAATAATAATAATACATTTTTCTTTTGCGTTTTTTAATGGCAATAAAAAAAAAAAATTCTTTTCACGGTTACTTGATTCGATAAAAAAAAAAAAAAAATAATAAATCGTTTTTTAACGTTCGCGGTTTGTCATCTTACTCTATGACATTAATTACATAGAAAATGGGTTAAAGAAAATTTTATTATCATTTTAAAACGGGAGAGGCGGGGGCGGAAAATTCATGAGAAAATTCTATTATAACGTAAATGAAAATTTCCCAGGAATTGTTAAATAACGTGTGATTTATTACTTTCAATTTAACTTTTGACTTTTTTTTTTTTTTTAAAAGAGTAAAAATAATTTCACGTTATGATAATAGATAAATGTTGTTGTTGTTGTTGTTTTTGGCGCGCGCGGGAAAAAAATCAAATTTAAATTAATTTTCCGTTCGAGAATAAATGTGACGTCATTTTTGTCTGTGAAAACATCTTTTACGAATACAAACGAAAATTTTTTTTTTTGTAATCGATCTTTACGTTAATAATTAAATTTTTAAAAAACAGGTCAACTTTATCAGATAGCAGAAGACATTTACGATACGAAACTTGAAATAATTATACTCGAAGAGGGTAAATCGTCATCGGGAACGAAAAATAATTACGTCAAATACAGATTGAATTTCGATAACGTCGAATACGTGGAATCGAAAAATGAAAAGAAAAAAAATTTCGAAAAAATTACTTTACCCGATTTTTACTTTTCCGTTCTCCTCAAATTATTCCCGTTCGGAGTCATATTCGGACAAGACATGAAAATAATGGGAGTCGGTGAAAAACTCCATTTTGTTTTGGGCGATGTTAATCCGCTTGGAGAAAATGTGACGAATCTATTGAAATTGAGAAGGCCGAGGGGTATAACGTTCATCTGGAAAAATGTAAGATAATGATGATGATAATGAGGAGAAGAAGAAGAAGAAAAAAAATTAATAAAAATTTTCTTTTTTATCCCGCCATTTTGAATTTTCTTCCTTAGATATTGTACCTTCAATCCGTTTTGTTCGAATTGGAAATTATTAGTAGATCGTGTAAAACGTCACGAAATTCGGAACAAAGGACGCAGTCGGACGAATCTTTGGCTCTTGTTGAGAAAAAAGGAAGCCATCATCATCATCATCAAAATTTGAAAAGTATTCTTCTTAAAGGTCAAATGTTTTATTTGAAAGATATAAAATCCGTTATTTTTCTATGCAGTCCCCTGTAAGTATAAAAAAATTATTTAATTGATACTAATTAATTTAAACTCATGTAATAACACATACATTCTCTCTCTCTCTCTCTCTCTCTCTCTCTATCTATTCCTCTCTATCTCTCTCTCTCTCTATCTATGCCTCTCTATCTCTCTCTCTCTCTCTATCTATGCCTCTTTCTCTCTATCTATGCCTCTCTATCTCTCTCTCTCTATCTATGCCTCTCTCTCTCTTTCTCTCTCTCTATCTATGCCTCACTCTCTCTCTCTCTCTATGCCTCTCTCTCTCTTTCTCTCTCTCTATCTATGCCTCACTCTCTCTCTCTATCTATGCCTCTCTATCTCTCTCTCTCTCTCTATCTATGCCTCTTTCTCTCTATCTATGCCTCTCTTTCTCTCTCTCTATCTATGCCTCACTCTCTCTCTCTCTATCTATGCCTCTCTCTCTCTCTATCTATGCCTCTCTCTCTCTCTCTCTCTGTCTCTCTATCTATGCCTCTCTCTCTCTCTCTATCTATGCCTCTCTCTCTCTCTATCTATGCCTCTCTATCTATGCCTCTCTCTCTCTCTCTCTCTACCTATGCCTCTCTCTCTCTCTCTCTGTCTCTCTATCTATGCCTCTCTCTCTCTCTCTCTATCTATGCCTCTCTCTCTCTCTATCTATGCCTCTCTATCTCTCTCTCTCTCTATCTATGCCTCTTTCTCTCTATCTATGCCTCTCTATCTCTCTCTCTCTATCTATGCCTCTCTCTCTCTTTCTCTCTCTCTATCTATGCCTCACTCTCTCTCTCTCTCTATGCCTCTCTCTCTCTTTCTCTCTCTCTATCTATGCCTCTCTATCTCTCTCTCTCTATCTATGCCTCTCTCTCTCTTTCTCTCTCTCTATCTATGCCTCACTCTCTCTCTCTCTCTATGCCTCTCTCTCTCTCTATCTATGCCTCTCTCTCTCTATCTATGCCTCTCTATCTCTCTCTCTCTCTATCTATGCCTCACTCTCTCTCTCTCTCTCTAACACTCAAAATGCAGTAGGATGGTTTTAGTTTTGTTTAATATTAAAAAAAGTATTTATCCTTTGAATAAATCAATTGTTATTCAATAAACGTTTCAATGTTTTAAATATATTACTTTCTTACCAAGCCCCAATTTATAAAAATAAACTTGAAATGCCGGAAATCCAACAAACTTTTTTTTCTTTTTGAAAAAATTCTTTTTTATGTAAATATAATTTTTGCCAGAAAGTTTTTCCTTTTACAAATCTATTTCTCAACCGACGCATCTGTTATAACTAAAAGAAAAATTTAAATTTACAATTTTCCACTCAACAAAAACGTTTTTTTTTTCCTTTTCGTTTCAGTATCAACGATTTGGACGAACTACCAAATATGGGCCTTTATTTAAACGATTTAAATATTCACGGTTTGAGCAGGGAAATGGTTTTGACCGGTTGGCAGCATTGTTCAAGGTTATCCATTTAAAAAAATACACGCGCTAGTATAAGTTTGTTTTGTAACCAAATTGAAAAAAATTTTTTTTTTATTTTTTTTCCAGTCTTGAATTGATGTTTGAAAAAGCTGAACAAAGATCGTTGGAACTTGAAAAAAGTTATAAATTACTTGACAGTTGGAAAAAAAAAGGAGATGATTTATTATATTCTATGATACCACAATCCGTTGCTGAAAGATTGAGAACCGGTGAAAATAGATTAAATACCTGCCAAGTTAGAAAATTATCATTATTATTATTAATCCTCACTTTTTTTATGTAAAAAATGGATTCGATGAAAATTTATCTGTCGCATCATTATTATTCTTACATTTAGGTTTTCGATAACGTCACCATTCTTTTTTGCGAATTGGCTGATTTTTCATCTTCGACACTCCGGGATGCCATGGAAGTCGTCAGTAGCATGAATGCTATATTTACCTGTTTCGATTCTCTTCTAGATCTTTTCGACGTGTACAAAGTATGCGGAATTTTTTACAATATTAATGTTAAACAAACGCAAAATTTATTTAAATAAAAAATTAACGTTTTCAGGTAGAAACCGTTGGTAGAGTTTACATGACCGTAAGTGGAGCTCCCGAAATAACACCCAATCATGCTGATAATATAGCTAATTTAGCTCTTTGTTTGTCGCGACAAGTTAAAAAATTACAACTTCCGCCGGAAGTGAAAAAAATTAAAATAGGTAACAAATACCACCAAGTACGGAAAAGTGTCAAAATTATAATAATAATAATAATAATTTTTTTTTATATGTGATTTACAGGTATGCATTCCGGATCGGTCGTGGGCGGCGTTGTAGGTTTAAAAGTTCCCAGGTATTGTTTGTTTGGTGATACGGTAAATACCGCTGCCAGAATGCAAACCACGAGTGCTGTGAGTATTAAAAAAAAAAAATTATTTTTCATATAAATTAGTATTTATTTATTTATTTTTTTTTTTGGGCGGGGGGGTTGGCAGCCTGGAAAAATTCACGTTTCAAATTCTACGTATAAACTTTTAAATCCAAAATTATATCAAATGGAACCACGTGGATTGATACATATTAAAGGTAAAGGACAAATGAAAACTTATTGGTTGTTTAATAAAATATTTGATGGTAAAAAATCAGGCGACACGTTTCAAGAAAAAATGATCGCACGTGGAAAAGTTAACAGAACGGAAAATGAAACCAAAGGTCCATGACAATAATTTTTTTTTTTTAAATTAATTTTCATCTCGGAATTTTAAATCTATTTTAAAAAGAATATCTATTTATTTATTTATTTGTTTAAAAATATTTATAAAAATTAAAATAAATAAATTATTAAAATAAATTAACTATTAAGACAAAAAAAAAAAAAAAAAAAAATTAATTCTAATAATACGTCAAATTTTTTTCCATTAAATCGACGTGGGATAAATAGTAATAATAATAATAAGTTAAGGTTTATGATTATGTTCTAGTGACACGATGAACAAATAAAAAAAATGAATGATGTGCGAGATCAAATTTGAAATTTTTTTTTTTTACAATTTTTCCATCGTGTCCGGTGCCGTCGTGGTCGCTGACGAATCCGACGAAGAACTAGCAGATTCGTTAGAAGCAGTACCTGATTCGGAATCAGGTTTTAAATCTAATTCGGTTGGTGATGCGACCGTACCTGCTGATTCTTCCGTTGTCACGACAGCATTTTCATTTGTCGAGGGTGAATTAGATGCGGTCATGTCCATTACGGACGGTGCCACGCTATCGGCTACCGTTGATAACACGGTTAATTGTTTAACCGAACACGGGCAAGCATCTCTCGTGTTTTTCGTTATCCAAGTAATGTACCTGTTTACTCTCGAATACACACCCGGATAATCCGGTCGTGCGCAACCTTCTCCCCACGAAACGACACCCACGATGCTGTGAACCGTACCGTTGACAACGTGAAGGGGTCCACCGCTATCACCCTGACAAGCGTCTTTTTTCCCTTCGGGAAATCCCGCGCACAACATGTTATCCGTGATTCTCCTGCTTCCGTATTTAGTTTTTTTACACTCGGCATTCGACATGATCGGTACGGTTACTTCTTGTAAAATCGGACTCGTGACTCCTCCCTGAGATTTGACTCCCCATCCGGTGACCAATCCATCGTAATGAGAAAAACTTTTTCCCTTTACCGGCAAACAAACGGGCCTTAGAGTATCGTCCAAAGTCACTTCCTTATCCATTTTCAACAGGGCGATGTCGTTGTTAAACGTTCTGTCGTTATATCCGCTATGGCGTATCACTTTTTCTATTTTCCTTTCTATCACCGTCGATTCCGTATCTATGGATCTATCGTGTTCCAAAAGATGAGCCGTTATTTTTTGTTTTGAAAATCCATCGACGCAATGAGCGGCTGTTAAAATATATCTTGAATTTATCAAAGAACCACCGCAATAAAATTTCCTGTTGTACATGAGTAACGCCATCCACGGGTATTGATTTACTTGCGTTGGTTTTCCTCCTACAATCCTAATTTTTTTATTCGTGATTCCGCAAGCTAAACACGGCCACGAAATCACAAAAAAAAAAAAAAAAAAAAAATTAACGATCCGCGTAATAAATGGCACTAATTATCCCCCGATCTGGTCGGATTTTCATTTTTCCAAAAAATGAAAAAAAGAAAAAAGAAAACCCGACAGGAAAATTGAAACTTACAACAGGGTTTACATTGTGCCAAATCTACCGGTTTAGAAGTTGTCGATTCTTCTTCCTTTTCGGATGTTAATCCAAACAACCATTCCAAAAATTGAATTCTATTAACTATTTTTTCGTTGTCATCATTTTTATTATTATTATTATTATTCGACGTTCCTTTTAACTGGTGATTTATAAAAAAAAAAAAAAAAACAAAAAATCACTGAACACTAATCAACCAAAACCAAAACCAAAAAAACCAACAAAAAAAACTAAAAAACTAACCTGAAACTTAAAATTTTCGTTGTTTTCCTGACACTTGGCCAAGTAAGACAACGACGTTAGTAGTAACACTAAAAACCATTTTTGAATGCACTTCATGATTAGCACGGAATTTAGTAGCGAATACACGGCAAAACAATAATAATATATAATTTATATATAAAATGTGTATTCTTAAGTGAGCTAAGCGTTCTCAATCGACGTCACACGACATGTTTTTCTTATGCGAAGGGAATCAAATCATTCTTGAAAAATTCAGCGCGGAGATCGCGGTCAAGGCAACCGAAATGTGGGCCCCCCCACGAAACTGGAGCACCTTAAGTTAAATATTGAATTAATTACCTCTCTATCATCCCAATTATAAAAAAAAAAAAAAAGGCTTATTGCAATGTCATTACCAGTTTCCTAAACTTTCTTAGCCGCCATTTCAACGAACAATGACAAGGATTTTCCCTCGCACCACCACCCCACCCCAAACATTTTCCTACCCTTAAATAAATGATTAAACGATTATTTCTAACGGCGGCATTAAATTAATCACAATCATTTTTTTTTTTTTTTTTTTTAAATTCCATGCCCCATAAATAATCGTTTCGTTTTCGATTTCCTCTCGAATAATGATCGATAGATCGAACAGATCGATCGATCGATCGATTTAAAACAAAAACAATTTTAAATTCAAATTACGCAAAAAAAAACAAATTACCGAGATCGACGCCATAAAGAAAAAAAAAAAAAAAAAGTGAAAATGAATTTTTTTCGTTTAAATAATCGCACAGTAATATGTGACACAAAAATGTGGTTAATCAATTTTTAAAAAAGTCATCGAAACGTCACGCGTTTTAACGTTTTCCCCCACCCCCACCCTCCCCCCTCTCTCTTTAAACTTATTTATTGGTTAAAAATATCATCCAATTGTTCTATATAGTCTTGTACGTATTTCTCGAAGAAAAAGGTAAAATTTAATAGGGTTATTTTTCAAAACGAATCATGTTTCAAAAGGAAAAATGGAGGATGGCATTGGAAATACCCAAGATAGGAAGATGAAAAGAAGTAAACGCAAAAAAAAAAAAAAAAAAGGAAAATTATTTAGGTGGCAATGATGATAAAAGAGGTGAAAAATGGGTCACAATTATTTATGAGAGAGAGAGAGAGAGAGAGAGAAATCATTATTATTAGTATGTCATCGGTTATGAATCAGAAAATCACTTAGTTATTGATTGATACCGATAAATACATTTACAAATATTGTCACCATTTTTTTAATTTTTTGAATTATTTTGATTGTTAAGACGCCACGGACTTTGTATTTTATGATAACGTTAAAAACCGTCTGGGTATTTTTTTAATTTAATGGCTGCCAACCTCTTGGAAACATCATGAGGGGGGGAGGGAAAGGGGGGGGGAAAGTAAGAAACGATTCGAAACAACAAATAATTTTTTAAACCATTTTGAAAGGGGTGGGGGAGGGGAGTAGAGAAGAACAAACGGAAATAAAATATTTACCGCGAATCATGCAGGTTTCCTCACCGTGAAAATCGATAATGATAATGATATTAATAAAAGTACAAATACCTATTTTAAAATTTTTTCCATCCAACCTCGCACGTTATTTTTTTTCTGTTTTTTCTTTCTTCTTCTTCTTATCTTCGACATTAAAATTCATTCAAAAAAAATTGTAACGAATTTTTTTTGTTTCCTATCGCATCATCCCGCATGTACGACGTCTCCTTATTAATGCCCCAAATTACGTCATTCGTCTTTTCCACGAAGCAGAAGAAATTTCTCGACGAGTTTTTTTTTTTTTTTTCCATCGTCTTTTAAAAACCTTGAAAAAAAAAAATTTTTTTTTTTTTTTTGTAATGTCAAATAATGAAAAATATTTTCCGAACAAAAAAATTGTAATAATAATAATAATAATAATTTTATCATGTTAAATTCAGTCATCGACCGCCGACGCCATTATTATTATTATTATTATTATTATTATGTATATTTCACGGACGTGATGACGCCCGATATTTACGTATAGTCTACAAATTCTCACATTTCACACGGATGAGCTTTAAACCTTAATTGCCTAATTAAAAATTTTTTTTTCTTTTTTTACGTAACAAAATATATTAATAATAATAATAATAATAATAATAATAATAATAATAATAATAATAATAATAATAATAATAATAATAATAATACTAATAATAATAATAATTTTTTTTTTTTTTTTTAAATTCCAAAGGACTCTCGTTACTCAATTTTTAATTATGGAAAAAACTCCATCAAAATTTAATATGGAGGTTTAATAAAAAAAAAAAACACACACACACACTGTGCGTGTGCGTGCGTGTGCGATAATAGATTTTTAAATAATAATAATAATAATAATCTTTTTTTTATTCGATGTGAAACAAAGACCTGAAATAGAAAAATAATTAAAAAAAAAAAAAAAAACACGACAGGATGACAGAATTGCGAGTGATTCAAAGCCATCATCGATAATGTTTTTTTTTTTTTTTCTATTTAACATTGACCCAATATTTTTTAAACAGTTAAGAAAGAGATTGTTGGTAAATCAATTCGTAATAAAAAAAAAAAAAAAATTTTTTTTCAAATGTTTTTTACATGCGTGTAATAAAGTCACAAAAAAAAAAATAATAATAATAATAATGGGAAAGAAAAAAAAAGAAAAAAAAACGTGCCGCGACATATATATACATTTCCCATCAGATATTCTTTCCATTAAAAAAAAAAAAATCTTTTTAAATTATACAAAAAAAACAGAAATAATAATAATAATAATAATAATAATGTTTTTACGAGGAGGATAAACAAAACAAGAAAAAAAAAAAGGAAAGAAAAATTTTTGCAATTTCAAAAAAACACACACACACAGAGACAAGAAAATAAAAGAAAACAAAAAAAAAAAATGGGGGGAGGGAAAAAATACGATTTGAAAACAAACAAACAAACAAACGAACAACAACAACCGACGACGACTACAAACATTTTTTTTTTTCCTTTTTTTTACTTAACAAAAAACCATTTGTAATTTTTTTTTTTTTTCTTCCTTTTTTTGAACAAACAAATTAAAATGAAAAATTTTTGAAAAATTTCCCATTTGTCTCTCTCTCTTTCTCTTTTTTTCTCTCTCTCTCTCTCTTTCTTTCTTTCTCTTTCTCCCTCTCTCTCTCTCTCTCTCTCTCTCTCTCTCTCTCTCTCTCTCTTTCTCTCTCTCTGTAACCTAACGATTAATTTAAGTGAAAGTATATATAATATATATATTTTTTTTCTGCCATTCTGGAGAAATTTTCAACGAATGTATATTTATAAAAAAAAAACAAGACAAAACAAATGGGTTACGAAATTCCAGAAAATTCCAGCAAATAAATATTATTATTATTATTATTATTATTTTCTTCCTTTCTTTCTTTTACACAGGAAAAAAAAAAAAAAAAAAAAAAAACTTTTACAGATCGACCCGAGTAAAATTGATTTAACGATGATTTATTTTTAATAAATTGACTAATATTATTATTATTATTATTATTATTATTATCATTATTATTATTATTAATGTTTTAATGGTTTGTTGTAATAAAAATTTTCCTTGAGATACGCGAATGACTAGAGAAAAATTTTTCGGTAATTAATTCAATTGTGTCAATAGCATATTAGGTTATCGTCGTCTAAGCCCACTACTACTCGACTTAATAATGGTTTCTAAAACAATTTTCTACAAAATTTTTATTTTTAGAAAAATAAAGATTGTTTTAAAAGGTTTAGGAGATATACAATTTCGCTTTGGGTGACAATGAACAAACGAGCGACAAACGACAAACGAACAAAAACCATTCGAACGTTCTAATATTTTTAAATGTGATAATATGTCACCCGGTTATTTTAGCAACGCAATTCCATCATCATCATCATCATCATCACCTGTTTTTGAAAGATTTTTTTTTTTAATCCAGAACGACCTAAATTTCATCCCGTCTGACCTCTTATCTTACGAGTTTTACACGTCAAATGTCACGCACGCACGCACAAGCACACGCACTCACACAATTTCCATTGCATAACGAGGTCTAACTGCATTTCCCCACCTGAGTTCCCCAAGGTTCACACACACACACACACATATAGGATCTCTCCTTTATCGTTTAACAAAACTTTTTCTTTGTCTTTCTTTTATTTTTATTTTTGCTGTAAGGTCGAGGACTCTCTTCGGTAATTATCGCATCACTATAAAAGTTACATATCTTGCTTTTGGGATCGTCATATTTGGGTTACAAATCAGCGGGTACAAACAAACCATCTTTCTTTTATACAAACGCACAACAACAACAAAAATTACAATTTTTGTTTTTCATTTTAAATTTTAATTGTTTTTTTTTTTTTTTTCCGTTTTGAAAAGTTTTAAAAAAATGTGCGATTTAAGTGTTTTAAAATTTTTTTTTCTTTTTGTTTTTATTTTATTATCATTTACGACCATTTTGACAGAATGTCGTGGATTAATCGATACGAAAAAGGATGATAAAACGGTGAGAAAACATTTTAAAAATTTTCATTTTAGATAATATAAAAATTAATTGACATAATCATCATCATCATCATCATTGTATCGTAGATAATTATTAATTATAAAAAAAACCTTGCGGGTATTTTTTTTTTTTTTTTGAAAAATTTAAATTTAATCGGAAAATAACGAACGAGCAAACGAACAAACAAACAAACTTTTAAATGGTTTTTAATTCAATGCCATCACCATCACCATTAATTGGATTTTGTTTGTTTGTTTGTTTGTTTGTTTGTTATCGATTTTAAATTAATAATAATATGATAGTAATTTGTTTACCTTATTTTAAAGGTAAATCAACCTCACGGTAAACAAAACCTTCCATCTTCGAACGTTCAAATTCATTACAATCAAACGTTGACAAACAATACGGATTATTCGACGACAATAACATTCGAAATTGATTTCGTCAATAATACGACATCCACGAGCATAATTAACAAACCAGTTGGTGACCTACCACATTGCGGCTGTTGTTAGTAGTTGAAAAAAAAAATTTTTTTTATTTTAATTACTTTTAATTAAAAAAAAATTATTACGAAATATATCGATTTTACATTAGATTGCGGTACCGGAGGACGTAAACATCGGATAGTGGGTGGTAATGTAACTAAAATAAGCGAATACCCGTGGATCGCTGCCATGTTTAGAAAAGGAAAGTTTTACTGTGGTGGGGCTTTGATAACGAGAAGACACGTTCTCACAGCCGCCCATTGTATTTACGGGTACGTTTTTATTACACAAAAACAATATTTTCTTAACAAAAAAAATTCAAATGAGTCTCTACGTGAAAAGTTTTGTAATTTTATGTAAAACCGATTTTCTAAGCGGTTTCTTTTTCTGCCTTAGATTTAACCCGCAAGATTTGAAAGTCGTTCTCGGTGAGCACGACAGAGACGTTCTCACCGAAACGGATACGGTCGAAAGAAAAATAAAAGTGGCAAAACATCATCCGAAATTTGATTTATTCAGTTTTAATAACGACATTGGCGTCATCGAATTGGATGCACCCGTACAACTCGGCGACCACATTCGAACTGCTTGCCTACCAGAAAACGGTTAGCGTCATTCTTTTTTCCTTTGATACTGGGTTAATTAAAACGTCATCTCTCATTATCAAACACATTTTTTTATTTCCAGCTAATTTCAATTACACTAGCATATTTGGAATCATAGCCGGGTGGGGAAGAATCGAAGAAACGAAACCGACATCGAGTAAACTTCGTCAGGTAAAGGTACCCATTTTATCGAACGAAGCTTGTCGAAAATTAGGATACATGAAAAACAGAATCACGGATAACATGCTTTGTGCGGGTTACGAAAAAGGTGCGAAAGATGCTTGCCAAGGTGATAGCGGCGGTCCGATGGTTATCGAAACTAAAAAGGGAAACTTTGAAGTGGCTGGTAAGTCATTTTTCTTTAAAAACGATTATCATTATTATTATTGGTACCTCGTTTACGAATTTCGTTTTCATTCGAGTATTCACGTATTTCGCATTTCAACAGGTATCGTTTCTTGGGGACGCGGTTGCGCTAGACCCAATTATCCGGGAGTGTATACGAGAGTCGTTAATTACAAAACCTGGATTGACGAAATCATCGGTCACGAATGCTACTGTCAAAAATCTTAAGAAGAATCTAAACCCATCATCATTCACTCCTTGTTCCTCAATAACTACAAAAACTATTGGATCTCATTCGAAAAAAAATTAAGAAGAAGAAAATTCACCACCACCATCATCATCATCATCATCATCATTATTATTAGATTATAAACCTGACCTTATAGTTACCACTACTTATATTTACATATTTATTCTAGTCATAAATTATTATATTATTATAAAAAAATTTAAATTTGATAATTCGTTTTACTTTTTTTTTGTTAAACAATAATAAATTCTCATTAAAAATGGAAAACTTACAAACGAACAAACAAACAAACAACAAACAACAACAACAACGACGACGAAAATAATTCGGGTGAAAGTTAAATAAAAAAACTAAAATAAGAAAATTACTTTCATTATCATTCATAATCGTTTAATAATTTAATCAGTGGACAAACCTTGGTACCTCGACAGACATATAATACCTCAATAACCGTCATCGAATCAGGTACGTACACATCAATGAACCTAAACCAAAATAACTAGTCAAAAACTAGAAAACTAACTAACCGTTTCGAATTGGAAAAATAATCGACTTTCAAATTAATATCTCCTTTCCTATTGAAATCTCCTTTTTTTTTATGTCACGTTGACGCGTACATCATCAATTTTAACAACCGCTTATCAAAATTATCATCATTATCATTATCATTATTATTTTTTAAAATAATTTAAACGAAAAAAGTGAAAGTTTTTCCAGATTTATCCGAGTGAAAATTTTTTTTTTAAGAAAAAAATTATAGTTTTTCTTTTTATTTTCTATTTTTTTAAATAAATAAATTTAGAAAATATTGATTATTGAAACGTTAAATAAAAAATGTTACCGTTATTTTTTTCCATTAATTTTTTTTTTTTTTTTCTTTTTTTGTTCTTAAAATCGAATGTTAAAAGAAAGTGTGAAATTTTTTTTTTTTTTTTTTTTTTTTTTAACCGAACATTTACAATTGATCTAAATTTTTTTTACTTTCATTTTTTATTGGAAAATTTTTAAAATAAAAACTCGGTAAATTTGGGTATCGAATAAATGACACGCGCACGCACGCCCACGCCCCCACATGGTCAAAATGGTCATCGTGAGTAACAAGTTCAAGGGGGACGTAACAATCTAAACATTGATCGTATTGGAGTTAAGTTTTATAAATAGAAAGTAACAAACAACTTACCCAGACTTATTTCCCCATCTTAAACATTCGACATTGCCTACTTTTAGTAGTAGTATGACGTGTTAACAGTTTTTTTTTTTTTTTTTTTTTTTTTTTCATAAAAAACTAAGAAAGTTTTTGTTATTTCCCGTGAAAGTATCCAATTTTTTATGAGTCCGGATTACACATCTCATCGAAATGTTTTCTTATTTCTCGATTTCTAAAAAAAAAAAAAAAAAAAAAATTGTTATGATTACGTTTGCCTATTATAATTTTTATTATTAATTAAAAAATAATGATAATAATAATAAGGGGAGGAGGGGAAGGGGGAGGGGGGTTCGACGTAGGATTTCTATGATGGTGTTTTAAATATTTCAAAATATTCAATTTTTTTTTTTTTCTTTTCAAAAAGTTATGCAACGGTAAGATAATTAATAATAATAATAATAATAATAATAATAATTTTTAACTGTTTTTCGATGGAAATACAACAAAATCAAAACGTTAACTTAACCTAATTAAAAGTTACGCATTTAAAAATTTTTTTATTATAAATTATTTATATAATCGAATTTGTGTTTATGTGTGTGTGTGTGTGTGCGTAGCAAGTGTTCATAAGTATGTTCGTGTGTGTGTTGTTGTTGTTGTTGTTGTTCGCTTTCATGTATAAATTATAAATAAATTATTCAATTTAAATTTTTTTTTTTTTTTTGAATATTCAAATAATCGCGAAAACTACAAAAAAATATGAATACGCATGAACGTAACCAAAAAAAAAAAAAAAAAAAATGTATTATGTGTTAATGTATCGATAATATTATCATTCGTAATTAAAAATTATTATAATGAATGAATTTTCTCCAATGTAAGATTTGGATTAAAATTTGGATTAGGATTAGAATTTGGATTAGAATTTGGATTAATTGTTTAAACGTTCGAAACATTTTATCATACGTGAGATTAAGAAAAACCTGCCCAAGTCGTATTATTAATTTTCTCTCTCTCTCTCTCTTTCTCTCTCTATCTCGAAAATATTCGAATGGATTTAAAAAGATTAGCTTTCACTTTTAATCCTAAATCTTTTATAGGAAGAAAAAATTTTAAAATTTTTTTGAGTTAAAAAAAATGTCATTACGTCAAATTACACACTTTATTAAAATTTAAAAGACAATGATTGTCGAAAAAAGAAATGAAATGAAATTATTTTGCATTTGTACATTGAATCTCTCTTTCTCTTTCTCTCATTTCCCCACCCCACCCCACCCACCCACCCATCCTATCCCTTCTCTTTATCGTATTCACTTTAAAATGGTTGGAAATTGCTAAGGAGAAAAAAAAAAAGAAAAAAACGAATGTGGAATCACACGCTTAATAAGAAGCAACAACAACAACAACAATTGTAGTGTTTCATTTCACTTTTGCCTGCCTGCCTGCCTCCCCCTCTTTCTCTCTCTCTCTCTCTCTCGCTAGCTTTCTTTACCAAGCTCTCATACTTTTAGTTAACTCGATGACATACCTGAATTAAGTGCTCTCGTCTTGGTTGTGTGTGCCTGTGTGAGAGTGTGTTTGTGTGAGTCTAGTGAAAGTGAAACGCGTGTGAATCACTTACAACCATGGTTCGAAAAAAACAGTCGTAACCTTGAAAAATAACGAAAAAAACGTTAGTTATTTATTATTATTATTATTATTATTATTATTATTAAATTTTTTTAAAATCGTGGTTAAAGTCGACAATGAAGAGAATCCCATCGGTTAACTTCCCGTACGAAAATGTTAAAAAATGATTTTTTTATTGCAAAAGTTTTCATATGGTTCGTGTTGATTCAAATTTGTATTGCCGCACTACAATTCGAACAACAACAACAACAGCAAAAAATTCAGGTAAATATTATTATTATTATTTTTTTTTATTAATAATAATAATAATAATTTTTTTTACGTTTTGTGTTTAACATAATTACAATTTGATTTTTTTTTTTTTTTTTTTTTTTAATAAATAAAAATTTTTTTTTTAGAAACAAAAAGAAAAAAGTGGAAGACTTCTTTTTAAAGAATTGATGAATTTAATAACAGGTGGAGATGATGATGATGATGATGACACGAGCCATCAATTAAAAAATTGTACCTGCAGTAAGTGAAAATAATTATTTATAATAATACAACAAACAATTTAATATATATATAGCAAAAAATATTAAATACTTTCTAATTGTTAAAATAATAATAATAATAATAATGAAAAATGGATAGCATACACGTTAGATTGACATGAGAATTAATAAAAAATTATTATTATCATTATTATTTGTTTTGTTCAGGTTTAAAAAAATGCATGGAAAATGACAATGAGTATTAAATTTAAGTTTTGTTTTATAACGTTTTTCATTCGATAAACTCGTCACAATAAATTTTTTTTTATTAATGCCAAAGAAATTTCTAAACCACTCAACTGTTACTTTTTAATAATAATAATAATAATAATTATTATTATTATTATTTTCTTGTTTTTAATTCAGGTATTTCTTACTACTTTGCAAATTGAAAATTTACATCGATTATTTGTATTTTTCAGGTTGCGGTCAAGCAAATCAAGAAATTCGTATTGTCGGTGGAAGACCGACAGGAGTTAACAGATACCCATGGCTGGCACGTTTAGTCTACGATGGACAATTTCATTGCGGGGCCTCATTGATAAGTGAAAATTTCGTATTGACTGCTGCTCATTGCGTGAGAAGGTACTTCTGGTACTTCGATTAATGAGTTTTTCCCTTAAAATTTTCCCGTTTTTTAATTATTAATATTTTCGTCAGGCTTAAAAGATCTAAAATCAGGATTATTCTGGGAGATCACGATCAATTTATAACAACCGACTCTCCTGCCATCATGAGAGCAGTATCGACCATCATAAGACACAGAAATTTCGACATTAATTCCTATAATCACGACATAGCATTGTTAAAACTACGTAAACCTGTGAGTTTTTCCAAACACGTACGACCCGTTTGCCTTCCCACAGATAGTAAGTATCATTTAAGATAAAAAATTTAAATTTAAATTTAATTTTAAAAGGGGTGATCAACTTATTACTTTCTCAAATCGGCTTTCTCCATGTGAATAATTTTTAAATTAAACTTTTACCGAGTTTGTGTGTGTTAAAAAACAATCGCCATTATTTAATTATATTAATAATATAATTATTTAAAAAAAAAAACAAAATATTTACGGATATTTCATCACGTTTAACAATTATTAGCGCCCTCGATTTTTTTTTTTTTTTTTTTTTTAAATAATTATTTTGGTTTTTAACTTAACATTAAACGGAAATTATTGTTTCATTTAAAAAGTCGTGTCAATAACAATTTCCGGTTTTAAAAAAAAAAAATTTTTATAAGCTCGAATTTAAATTTTTAAAAAATTAATTATTTCTTTGATTAAAAATTCAAATTTTTTACTATTTATTCAATGTATTTAAGAAGTACAATGCGTCGAAAAACATAAATTTTAACCCTATTGATTTAAAATTAATGTACTCGCGGGTACCCGCGAAAGCTTATACATTTTACATTAGCTTTAAAATAATAATAATAATAATAATAATAATAATAATTCAAATTGGATTGTGTTTTTTTTATTAAATTGGTCTGCCGACTGAAAATTTTTTTTTTGTTTAGATTTTGGAAATCTTGCTGGTAAAAATGGAACTGTGGTGGGATGGGGAAGAACATCGGAAGGAGGAATGCTTCCGGGAGTTTTGCAAGAAGTACAAGTTCCTATTTTAAGTTTGTCACAGTGTAGAACAATGAAATACAAAGCTTCTAGAATCACCGTTAACATGATGTGTGCCGGAAAAGGTTTCGAAGATTCCTGTCAGGTATATATATACATTTATAAAACGGAGAGAATATAAAATGATAAGAAACAAAATTATTCATGTTATTTTCATTAAAAAAATTTTTTTTTTTTTTTTTTTTTAGGGCGACAGTGGTGGTCCATTGTTATTGAACACTGGTGGTGATAAACACACGATTGTGGGTACGTAAGTACTAGTTCTAACTGGTTTGTTTTGGATCGATCGGAACAAAAAAAAATACAAATATTATTTATTTGTTTTCTAAAAAGTAAACTTTATATAATTTTTTTTTTTATCGATAAATAATATTTTGTTGGGATTTCCATCGAATCAATTTTTTTTTTTTTTTTTAAATACAAAGAACAGCATTTGACAAAATAAAAAAGGTCTTTTATTTACAGGACGTACGTTATAACTTAACAAAAAAAAAAATTTAATAATAAATTAATTCATAGAAAGAATCAATTCGCGAAATTTATCAAATGAATTATGGGGGGGGGGAGGGAACAATAGAATTTTTGTTATCGAATCCTGACGAAGAAAAGATAATAATGATAATTTTTTTTTCTAAATAAATAATTCTCTTTTAGGTATAGTGTCGTGGGGTGTCGGTTGTGGCAGACCTGGATATCCCGGAGTTTACACGAGAGTCACGAGATACCTCGAATGGCTACATAGAAACATGCAAAATACATGTGTGTGCAGTGAATGATAAAGTTAAAAAAAAAATTATTATTAAAAAACTATTAAAGTAAAAAAAAAAAAAAAGTCACGTGATTTATAATACAACTCGCGTTTTATATAAAACTCATTTTATAAACTTTTAAAGGGGGGAAAGGGGATAATTTAAAATTTATTTTGTTTTATGTATAAAACGACTTAAGAATTTAATAAAAAAAAATTTATCTCAACGATTCTTAAATTATTTTTTCATCGACCCGAATTTAACACCTAAAATCTATTAAAAAACTAATAAATAAAAAAAATGGCAAATAAAATTACCCGGATAATTAGCAAATTATTACACTAATTATTACAGGTAAGTTTTTAATTGTACTATTATTATTATTATTATTATTCACTTATTAAAAAAAAGAAATTTTGTATTTAAATCATGATTGAATAACCACTAATTAAGCTATTAATTAATTAATCAATAAAACTGGGACGAAATAATGTAATTTTAAAAATATGGGCCGGAAATTAAAAGGACGCCGACAAGAGATCACGATTAAAGCCTTTTTTTATAAAAAAAATATTTTTGATAAATATATATATAAAATAAATATACGATTGGTAACATTTTAGTAACGGTTAACTGTAAATTACCTTAATCAATAATAATAATAATAATAAGAAAGGGACTAATAAAAATTCATGACAATGCATATAATCGGTGTCAACATTATGTATATATATTTATGACCTTCATATCGATCTAATTAATAATGAAAAGTTTTTTTTTTTTTTTTTTTTTTTTTTTCCATTAATTAAACCCCAAAACTTTACCCCGAATTATTATTATTATTATTTTACATTATGGAAAATGGAAATGTAACCTTATTTGAATGTGAAAATAAAAAATTTCTCTCGACCATTACATTCTATGACTTCCCAAAAAAATATACCAAATCACAAGTAATGATAAAAAATAAATGATGTAAAATTATTATTATTATTATTATTATGTCACAACTAATGTTCGCACATACAACAACTTAATTATTTTTAACCTAATCATGATGAATCTACTTTCTAAAGTGCAATAAAGTAAAATAATAATAATAATAATAATGATAGATTAAGTAGTTTCGAATATTTAAATAATGCATTATTATGTGGAATTTCGATTGATAATAATGACAGTGTGAAACAACGTTAATTCAAATTACATGTAATTTTTTTTTTTTTTTTTTTTTTTTTGAAACGGTAAAAATTCCAAAAGCATTATTTAATTGATATATGACGTCAGCAATATGTATGATGAATACATAAAAAGAACAAAAATTTTGCTATGTAAAAGAAAGAAGATACAATTTATAACTTACAATTTTTTTTTTTTTAAATTAAATGAATCTTTGGAAAAAAATTGGAATAAGTGTTATTTTCAAGTGCAATGAACTTGTTTCCTTTCAAAAAATAAGTCATGAGAAAAGAGTTTCAGCTAATTTTAAAGCAAAACACTTGTTTTGTAAAATCTCACAGGAGAAAAAGAAAAAAAAACAATTTTAAGGGATTACTCCTTAATTTTACCCTACTAAATGTGATGTGTTCAGGTTAATCACATCAAATCAAAAACAAAAAACAAATTAAACCAATTCAATCATGTAAATCTTGTTTAAAAAAAAAATGTCAACTTGTTGTTATAAATTTAGCATGAAATACAACAACACAACCTTAAATTAGTATATAACTTCTCTCAGACTAATTATATGCACTGCAAACTATTGATTCCAACAATTTTGATTTTTTTACAATTAAAATCACAAGTAAAAACATTTTATGTGAATCATCAAGAGGGAAAATTTGTTCACATTACCAAGTTTTTTATTATTATAACAATTACTATGATAAACAATGTCACACACATGTGAATGCATTTGCCATCAATGTCATTTTCACATACCTATCCATAATAATAATAATTTAAATATGTATGATGATAAACAATGTCACACACATGTGAATGTATTTCCTATCAATGTTATTCTCACATACCCATTCATAATAATAATAATTTCAATAAGTATAAGAAAAACTATAAAAGTTAATAACAATAATTACATTGATTTCCTCTATAATGAAACTTCAAATTACTAATATAATTGGTTGCTTTTCGCACAATAAGTGATTTTGCGTTGAATGAGATTAAATAAATGAATCTTCTTACCTTATTTGAATCACATTTGAGACGGTTGTTGCTTCAAAAGAACAAGAAGAGATCACTTTTCATCCCCCATGCCTAAAACAATTCAAAGCATTCTTAATTACAATTTTTTCTCAGGGATTTATTATCAAAAAAAAAACAGCACGATATCAAAAAACAATTAATATTTATAATAAAAGTCAATTACTTACCTTTTTCGAACAAAAAAAACATTGATTGATTAATTATGTGTGGCATTTGTGCAAAACAAAACCCTAAAACTTCAAACGCTGTAAGATTCAGAGAAAAAAACATGGCGGAACTGTCGTGACGCAATGCGAAATAACGAATTTTACGCGCGAAAATCCTAGATATCCGTTGGTGGAAAAAAAACAAAAACAAAAGCGCGACTCTCACATTTATCCATCTGCGTTCGAAATTTCAAAATTTAACGTTTTTAAAGCGCTAATTTGTACTCTTGATTTACTTCTTTTAATTATTTAATATAAAATAAACATTTATACGCGTATAAAATATAATTTTATATTATAATTTCACGTACTAAAATTTTACTACCTACTTATAAATTTACCAAAACCATAGAGATGATAAACGATTTGAATGCTTATAGCATGGATTCGATTTGGCAAAACAAACGTTTTGAAAATTTTAATGTTATGCTCTATGGTCAAATACCTTTTATACAAAGTTTTTAATTTTAAAAAAATCATTCGAGCATTTATGTTTCTTTTCAATAATTATATTGTAAATTTGATAAATAATTTTTTAAAAAATTATTTCTACTTAATTTCTATAAGAAAACCTATATGGTGGAACCTTAACAAAAAAAAAAAGGAAAACAAGTTACATAATTATCAATAGTTCTCAGAACTAAACCGGATTTACAAAAACTAGTGGTACATAACAATAAAAATAATAATAATAATAATAATAAGTAGAAAAGAAAGAAAGAAAGAAAGAAAGAAGGAAAAAAGAGTTTGGGTACAAGAGTTAAAGAAGAGCCGGTAAAAAAAAAAAAAAAAAAAAGAATTCTTCAGTGGTTTAGTAACGGTGAAAGGTGAGACAACAAAAAAACATCTAAATAAAATTTTAATAATATCCGGCAAACTTATTTATTATATATATTTATTATTATTATTATTATTATTTAAAATTTTACAAAAAAAATAGTAATAATAATAATAGTTTTTAAAATTTAAACGAATATTTTGCGTTTTATTTTTTTTACATTCGAGTTTGCTAAAAAAAAAAAAGTTAGTCAACCGTAAAAACCCAGAGAAAAGTGACGTTTTTAATTTGGGGGGAGGGGAAAGTTTTAAATATATCATCATGTACCGATTTTAATGAGAGCTGACATGGGATGAATTTTCATAAAAAAATGACTTATTGTGGCGCAATTATTATTTTTGGAGCAACGATATTTTTCATGTCATTCGTTCACGTTAACTCTATAGAGGTAAGCATTAAACTTTATACAAAAAAAATAAAAAATAAACATTAACTGTAGCAAAAAAAAAATAAATAAATAAACATTAACTGTAGCAAAAAAAAAAAATAAATAAATGATATAAAGAAAAGAAAACTGATCTTGCATGATATTTAATCTTGGTCTAAATTTATGTTTGTGTGTATGTGTGTGTGTGTGTGGGTGAGTGTGCGTGTGCGTGTGTGTGTGCGTGGGTGAGTGTGTGCGTGTGTGTTTAAAACTACGTCTTTTAAAAAAAAAAAAAACCATTTTTGTTTCTAATTAAAAATATGGATATTAGTAGTGGAAGGTGGCATTTTTTTTTTTTTTTTTTTTTTTTTTTTTTAAAGTCATTTGTTACCATGTTATGAAAATTAATACATTTTCATAAAAAAAAAAAATAATAATAATAATATTAATCAAGGGCACCGTCAATTTTAAATCACTCTTTCAAAAAAAAAAAAAAAAAAAATTTTTTATTTAATTAACTTCTTATTAATTATTAATTAGTTTTATTAAACACTAATAACCTTCGCATAAACTATACTGTTATGTTTAAATCATAAATAATTATTCTGTCTGTCCAAAAAGGCTTTTCTGTGTAGGAAAAAAAAAAAAAAAAAAAAAAAAAAGGAAAAAAAGTTGATTTTCAAATTTTTAACCGAAATTACTCCCCCCCCCGCCCCTCGTTTAAACATTAAAGTTCAATAAACTTCGAGTTATTTATTAATTATTAATTCATAAAAAAAAAAAATAAAAAACTGGTACAACTTATAATTCTTTTCTTTATAAACAAAAAAAAAAAAAAAATAAGCAAAAAAAATTATTATTATTATTACTCATTGTTGTTGTTAATTTCACTTGTTTTTTATTCTCGTCAGAAATTTCCTTTAAGAAATTATTATTATTATTATTATTACTTTTTTTCTAGAAAAATTTATGTAAAATTATTATTAAATAATATTTTCTTATTATTTTTTAAAAATAAAAATTTCCTATGTTTTCAAGTCGTCGTGGATAATAAGTAATAATAATAATAATAATCGTTTAAGTTTTAATAATATTTTTTTATTATTATTATTATTTTATTATTCACGGTTCGTAAAAATAATAATAATAATAATAATAATAATAATAATAATAATAATAATGAAAAAAAAACGCGTGATTCATTGTATTAATACGTTTGAGCATAAGACGTACCGATTGTTTAAAACAAATTAAATTCGTTCTCTTTGGGTTGCCATTTTTTTTTTTTTAAATAATAATAATAATAAACTGTTTGTTTTTTTTTTTTTTTTTTAATAGTTATTGTATTCTAGTGTGTATTATTTTGCTTGAGTTATTTTTTTTTTTTGTTTTTACTTTGCAAAAAACGTGCTGACATTTAAAAAAAAAAAACTTATAAATGACTAAATTCAATTCGTTGAGTTTAAGCTGGATAAAAAAAAAAAAAAAAAAAAAAAAAAAAAAAAAATTTTTTTATAAAAGTTAAAAACGTGTTAGGGGAGGGGCGGGGGCGTGGGCGTGGGCGTACATGCATGTAAATGTGTAGAAAGAACAAAGTTAAAATTTTTTGTAATTAGTATTCAATTAGCATAAGGTAAATGAAAATTTTAATACTTCCGTGCTTCCATGGTTGGGTGACGTGTACTACGTGTGTCATTAAACACAATTTTGAAATATTCTTACCTGAAAAGAAAAAAAGAAAAATTAATAATTTATAATATTATTATTCATTTTTTTTGTTTTCCCTTCCTCCCCTCATTTTAGTTATTTGGAAAAAATGAATCGAGAATATTTTTTGGATGGTTTCAAAGAACCACACCCTCTCCACCAACAGTCGTACAGGAATACCTACGAACATGTTCTTGCAGTAAGCATAATTATATAATTGTGTAAATAGATGGAGAAAATTATTTTTTTGTAAACTAATGCACGAGTATGGTCCGTAGATTGTGGATTGCAAAGGGATGAAACTCGAATAATAGGAGGACAAGAAACGGAACCTAACGAGTATCCATGGATGGTACGTTTGACTTACTTAAATACCTTCTACTGCGGAGGGATGTTAATTAACGACCGTTACGTTCTAACAGCTGCTCATTGCGTTAAAGGGTATATTATAACTTAATCATCTAATTTATCGTTTTTGATCGTAGATAACATAATTGAATTACAATTGTTTTGTTTTTTGTTTCAGTCATTTGTGGTTTTTAATAAAAGTCACACTGGGAGAACACAACAGATGTAATTCGACTTACAAACCGGAAGCAAGATTTGTTCTAAGAGCATTTCAAGGACAATTTAGTTTTTTGAATTTTGAAAATGACATTGCATTATTAAGACTTAACGATAGAGTTCCGATAAATGATCACATACGTCCAATTTGTTTACCCAAAACGATGGGTTAGCTATCATACCATTTACCAAATTTTTCGTTAGGGTTTCAACTTTTTCAACTATTATTTTATTGTTAGATAATTCATACACTGGTACAATAGCCACGGCTTCGGGATGGGGAACGCTAAAAGAAGAAGGAACACCTTCGTGCACACTTCGGGAGGTCGATGTGAAAGTCATGTCGAACGAAGAATGCAGAAAGACGAATTATACAGAGAATTTAATATCGGATAAAATGATGTGTGCCGGTGATTTGCAAGGAGGAAAAGACACGTGTCAGGTATGATGATCGGACCCCATCCTGATATAAATTACAAATTAATTAATCCGTTACGATTTTTTTTTTTTTTTAGGGAGACAGCGGGGGTCCACTTGCTTATAGGAGAACCGATAATAAATTTGAACTTATTGGTAAGTATTCACAAGGGGAAAATTTTAATTCTTATTGAATTTTAACGTATTTTTTTTGCGTGTGTGTTTCAAAGGTATAGTTTCTTGGGGATCGGGTTGCGGAAGGCCGGGATTTCCAGGAGTTTACACAAGAATCACACATTATTTAAATTGGATAATTGATAATTCAAAAGATGCCTGTTACTGTCAAAACTAAGGAAAAACTATTTAAATACCCCGTTTATTTAAATCTAGTCGCTGAAAAAAAAAAAAAAAAAAAAAAAAAAAAAAATTTTTATGAGTAATTAATAAAAGTAGCATTACGAAAATAATCGTATTATTTATTGATAGTAGTAATTTGTAATCATTTACGCAATAAAAATAATTAACGCAAATTATTCCTTTCTGTCGTTTTCAAAATAAACTAAATTCCTGTAATTTTAAATTTCAATACATATATATTTAAATTATTTATTATTATTATTATATTTATTAATTAGTTTTAAGTTTATTTAACCGCGTAATAATAAATTAAGTTTAACTACTAAATTACTAAAACGTATTTTTTTTTTTTTTTACTTTTTTTTTTTTTAATTATGTAAAATTTGGGGAAAACAAAAAAAAAAAAAAAAAAAAAAAAAAAAACTAAGGAAATTCGCACGTTAATAAATTCGCACTTTTCGACATTAAATAACCCCCTCCCCCCCCATAAAACATTATTTTAATATATTTTACATAATATTACGTTAAGGATTTTTTATTTACATAAATTTAGTTATAAATTTTAATTCATTTTTTTGTTAAATTTAGTTTTTTGGAAATAAAAATGATTTTTTATGTTAAAAAGTTTTTTTTTTTTGTAATTTAAATTTCCCATTTTTTTTTTTTTTTTTTTTTTGTTAAAAAAAAACAAAAAACTGTCGTAAAATTGTTTGTAGCGGGTAGCAAGTTGTTTGTTTAAAAGAAAAAAAGGTAATAAAATTTTTTTTTTTTTTTATATTAAATAGCAAATTATGGCGATTGAAATTTACGTTATTTTCTTCAATTGTATAAACTATAGAGAGAGAGAGAAGAGAGAGAGAGAGAGAAAGCTTGCTAAAGGAAACGCTGTTGAAAATGAAAAGATTACAAAAAAAAAAAAAAAAAAAAAAAACTATTGCGAGTGGAGGGGTGATAATGTCACAATTTTAACCTATAAAAGCTTTGGTAAAGTTAAGGAAAAATTAATTAGATCGATTTTGGTTGACATACAAGTTACAAAAGGTGAGTTTTATAAAAATGGAGAAAAGCTAAAAAAAAAAAGGGAAAAAAGGGGGGGGGAATAAATTTTCTTTTTTTTTTTTTTTTATAATTGTGTCTCGGAAATTTTGTGATATCGCGCGAATACAAAAAACTATCGAAAAACTTAGTGATTATGTTCAAAATCGTGTTAGGTGCTTTAAAAAAAAAAAAAAAAAAAAAAAAAAAAATTGTTAATATTAATTAAACCAAAGAGTAAATTTATTGCACTATTTTAATTTTTTGTTTTTTTTTTTTTTTTTTTTTTTTGGGGGGGGGGATTTCATTTAGAAATTTTTCATAGAAATGACTACAACAATGAGCGAAGAATTAATTTTTTGTCCCGGTTTGGACGCATCATTTACAAAACCATCCGTCATATATGAAACCGTTTCTGTGAAAAAACCAGAAATGCAAAAAGAAAAAAAAGATTATCAAAAGAAAAAAATGAAAACAACAACAACAACCCAACCGGGGATGGGGATTTTCGAATTTCAAACGAAAATTGTTTGGTTTAATGCCATCGGGTTTCTACTCATGCATTTGGCTGGATTTTATGGCATATCGTTAAGCCTTTGGGATATGACAAAAGGACGATTTCTAACCTTTGGATGGAGTGAGTGTAATTTTTTTAAAAAAAAAGGTGCTTTTTAAAAAACAACCTGTCTTAATTAAAAAAAATTTTTTTTTTTTTTTCTCTACAGTGTTTTTTTTAGTTTTCCTCGGTGGAGAAGGTATAACCGTCGGTGCTCACAGATTATGGAGTCATAGATCATTCAAAGCTACAAAACCACTGCAAATCATATTGATCATAATGCAAACTTTGGCAGGACAGGTACTCCCGACATATATTTTAATTTTTTTTGTTAATTATCTCGACGAATAAAAACAATCAAATCAAATCAATTACAGAATTGTTGTTACATATGGGCAAGAGATCACAGGCAACATCACAAATACAGTGACACGGATGCAGATCCACACAATGCAAGCAGAGGATTTTTTTTTTCACACATTGGATGGTTGATGATGAAAAAACATCCCGAAGTTATTAGAAAAGGAAAAGGAGTTGATATGTCGGATTTAGAAGCCAATCCCATAATCATGTTTCAAAAAAAGTATGTAAACATTATTATTATTATTATTACTTGATCATGTTTTTTTTATTGGGAGAATATTCTCCGACTTTTATAACTGTAAATACTAAAATGTCGCGCACTTTAAATCGTCACACACACGCACACACATATTATTTTATATAATTTTACATGATATGTGCATTTATGACAAAAAAAAAAAAAAATTCAAAACAAAATGGAGTTACTCGGGTCATATAAATCACTGGGTCAATTGAAATTTCGTAAAAAAAAAAAAAAAATTTGAATAACTTTATACAGGTCTCCTCTACAGGGTTAAATTTTCAAATTTCAAATTGCTTCATCAATTCTATTTTTTTTTAATAAAGTTAAAGAAAGTGAAAGTTTTTTTAAAAAAATTACATTTCATTTGTTAATTAGATCGAAAAAGGAAGGGGAGATGGGGAGGGGAGAGGGAGAGGGGAGGGAGAAACAAGGGAGCCAGAACATTTTAATCAATCGATTCCCTAACTTCATTATTATTATTATTATTATTTTTCAGATATTACAAATCCTTATATTTTATAATTGCTATGATTATCCCGGTGTTTGTACCTGTTTATTTTTGGAACGAACCATTTTGGAAATCGGTTTTCGTCAATTATTTCGGTCGTTACATTTTACTTTTAAACATAACATGGAGTGTTAATAGCGTGGCACACATGTTTGGAACAAAACCATACGACAAGTAAGAAAATTTTTTTAGGTAAATTTTTTACAAAAAAATGGCGTCGATATAAATTAAATTTTTTTCCCAGAAATATATTACCGGTCGAAAGTACTTTCGTTTCGTTTATCGGATTGGGAGAAGGTTGGCATAATTACCATCACGTTTTCCCGTGGGATTACAAAGCGTCAGAATTTGGAATGCCGTTAAATTTCACCGCTCATTTAATTGAATTTTTGGCTAAGGTGGGATTGGCTTACGATTTGAAAGAAGTCACGGAAAACGTTATGGAAAATAGAATAAAAAGATCCGGGGATGGAAGTCATCCGGTTTACGGTCTGTTAAAAGACATTTCAACCGATTTTAGAGAAAACGAATGTGAAAAAAATTACGAATCGGAAAATTTGGGTAATGAAATTGACGCGGAAAAGGATTCGTCGGTTAAAAAACAATCGTAGATGGCGAGTTTAACAACGGGTTTGAGACTGAAAATGATTTTAAAAAACTTTTTTTTTTTTTTTTTTCATAATTCCACATGTATAAAAATTTGGAATTATTTTTTTTTTACTAAAGACTGACTTTTTAGTTTGTAATATTTTTTTTTTTACTTTATAATAATCGACATTGTTATAAATTTTTTACTTTTAAAAAATCAAAAAAAAAAAATGCAGAGTTAAAATTATAGTAGCATACATTTATATATATGAAAATGTTATATGTAGTTTAGAATTATTGTTATGTTATTAAAAATAAATTAAGCAAAATAAATTTCAATTTAATTTTTTTCCCCTTTAAATTTAATCATCAATCACAGCAACCTAAACAACAAACTCGTTTTAAAAAATATACATGGAGAAAAGGATTTCCTTATGAAAACAATTTCGTAACATCCTTTACACAAATTAAAAAAAAAAAATTAATTTAAATAAATTAAATTCTATTGCACGGGTCACGAAAAAAGATGAACTTGAGACATTTTTTTTTTTTTTTTCCGAAAAATAAAAATAATAAAATTTTTTTTTTTTTTTTACTATTATTACTACTACCACTGACTTTCACGTGAACTTTAAAATGGCTTCAAAAAAATAAAAAATTTTTATGCGCTACAAACATTTAGTAATAAAAATAATTTTAAGTCATTTGCTCTCTAAACGTATCAAGACACCGAAAACTGAAAATACAACAACAACAAAAAAACCGGAATTATATTATAATTCTACTTCATTATTGATTTTTTACATAATGGGAACTCCATACCTTAAAATTTAAATTAATTTACTTAAATTATTCAGCCCTTCCCCTTCCCCCTCCTCCCCATCCCCCCATTTTTCCGAGTCCGAATCCCTTGAACTGTTTTTTAAACGTTTCCTGTGCTTAATAAAAAAAAAAAAAAAAAAAAATTAGTCAATTATTATAATTGCATTTCCGCTACTATCATTATTATTATTATTATTTTTTATTATTTTATAAACATTTTTTTTTTTTTTTTTAATAATATTTTTTTAACTGCATGCGCGCACACGTCATTTTTCGCGCAATATTAATAATAATAATAAGTATATTATTAATAATGAATTTTTTACTTAAATTTTTTCTATTAGTTAATTATTATTATTATTATTATTTTAAATTCGTTTATGCGTTTACGGGTAAGTAAATTATTTGATTTAAAATATCGACGTAAAATAAAAAAAAATGTATTACGATTAAGAAATATATTTAGTCAGCAATTTATTTTCACGAAATCAAAAAAAAAAAAAAAACAAAAAAAAAACAAAAGAGAAAATTTAAACAAGGAAAAAATTTTAACGACATAAACGTATTATTTTAAGGTACGGAACAACAATGTGGTATCCCCATTTCATTGGGTAAAATCGTCGGGGGAGTCGATTCGGGAGGTTATCACTACCCCTGGTTAGCAGTACTCCTAATCGAAAGCAATCGTAAAACGAGACCGATATGTGGGGGATCTTTAATAACAAATTCTTTTGTTTTAACTGCGGCTCATTGTGTAACAACGTGAGAGTCAGACATATTGAAATTTTACGTTATATATTTACTCTCATGTCCGAAAAATAATTTTTTTCGTATACATTTATAGAATGCCGAAAATTAATGTAAAAGCGTATGGTATTGCTTTGGGCGTGTACGACATATGCGATAAAGAAGAGCCTACGAGAGAAGATTTCAACGTGGCCGACATAATCGTCCATGAAAATTATGATAAAAGGAAAAAATTTTTCGATATTGCTCTCGTGCGACTTGTCAAACCTGCACATTTTACCACGATCTGTCTCCCCGTACTCGGTAATGCGTAAAAATTAGAAAATTTTTTTATTTTTTTCTCCATACCTTATTTTTTTCCAATATATAATTCAGGTGTGAATGATGAAACGGAAACGGCTCTTTTAATAGGATTTGGAGTCACTAAAGAAACCTCGAGTGTAAGACCCTGTCATTTACAACAAGTTAACGTAACAAAATATTCAAGAATGGATTGTTTGAAAACAAAACTTCCAGTATCTGATGCCCTTGAACCAAGTATTATATGTGCGGGTTCTGTATCTGGAAATGCTGATTCTTGCTACGTACGTTATGCACATTGAAATCCCCCTCCTTGCATAATAATAAACAAAAAAATTTGCAAAATTGTAATATTTTTACTGTTATCTCAAATAGTGGCTTATCAGAGGTTTGAAAAAAAACGTTTTTAATTTCAGGGAGATAGTGGAGGTCCATTACAAATTAAAATGTCCGATGGAAGGTATACGGTCGCGGGTGAGTAATTGTTGCTAAACGTTAGAAATCATTTAAATGAGTAATAATAAATAATCATGGGGATTCCCCGTGCGATGTTATTTTAGGAATAGTTTCATTTGGTTACGGATGTGCAGTACCCAACGTACCTGGAATATATACGAACGTGGGAAGTTATTTACAATGGATAATGGATAAAACATCAACTGCGAAATTTCATGCGAACAACAGCAGTCGGAACACGCATGAAAATATTTTTTTACCCAATATTTATCGACCCAACAACCATCAAATTGTACCCAGACGGGAAATTGAAATATTTTCACCACCACCACCACCACCCCAGTCCACGACTACGTCACAAAAAAAATTTTATAACACTCGTAATTTTCCTATTAATACTAACAAGTATAAAATTGTATTTCCCCAAATTAAATTTTAATTCAATTCACGGTAAATACACGGAACAAATTAATGACGTTTCGAAAAAAAAAATTAAATTCGAAAAAAATCCAAAGGAAAAATTTTTAAATAAAATTAACGATATTTCATAATTATTGTCTTTTCGAAAAGAAATATATATATATAAATAATGTCAAAATAGTATTATTGTCAATACCTAAAAATAACTCGTGATTTATTTTAATAAAAGAAATATTTGAAATGTAACGGTTTTTTTTTTTTTTTTTGAATAATGCGAACGGTTAAAACCTTTCTCAGATCAACCTTTTGATTCCAAGGGGTAAATGTCGAAAAATGAAATTAGAAAATATTATTTGTATTTTTATAATAATAATAAAATTTTCATGGGGGGCTCTAAGAAACGATAAAAATGTGAGTATTAATTAATTAATAATTTAATTTATTTATTTAATAATTTATAAGTTTGGAAGCACTAAATGGTTGTGAGAAAAAAGTGACGTTGATATTATGAAAAATTAATTTTTTTCGAGTAAAAAACGTAAGAGAAAAATTTACATTGATTAAAAAAAAAAATTTCAGGTTCGTTCGGAATATGACGTTGAATATATTTTCGAACCTATAACTGTCGGAAAGCAAACAGGTCTCACGAGTAGACAGTGTAATAAATGCAGTGAGTATTGGGGAAAATGGGAATTTTGCAATCCGCATTATGTACATAAATAAATGCATTTATTTATTAAAAAATTATTTCAAGGTTGTGGCATGACTCGACATACAACTAGAATTATTGGGGGTTGGACGACGGAAATAAATGAATATCCATGGATGGCGGCATTGGTACGAAAAAATAATTTTTTTTGCGGTGGTACATTAATTAACGATCGATACATAACAACAGCTGCTCATTGCATTTATAGGAAAAACAGAGACGTGTAAGTGTGTAAAAATGTTGTTTAGGCTACTAAATAAAATTAAAAAAAAAAAAAAAAAAAATGACTAAATGAATTATTTATTAATTAATTGTCTTTCAACTATCAGATTTCAATTTCTTTCTATAATTATTATTATTATTATTATTATTATTATATTTGACGTTCGTTAAAAATGAATAATTACGTTCAGTTAATAACAAAAGGTTCATTAATAAAAAAAAAATTTATGACTATCGTGTAAAACTTCTTACTAAACATATTAAAAAATTAAAAACAACAAGAATGGAAACTTCAGTAAACTGTCAGTTATATTAATCCTTAATTAAAATAATAATAACAATAATAATAATAATAATATTTTAATTAAATTTAACAGCTCGGCAAACAGTTAATAATTAATTATAACTTCCTCATTTAAAATTAATTATTGATTTTTTTTTTTTTTTTTTTTTAGAGAATGGGTGAAAAGAGATGTTCGTGTTATTTTGTCTGAACATAATCGCGTTCTATTAAACGAAACAGTAAATCTCGTCAAAAGAGTTTCCAAAGCTATAATACATCCAAATTTTTCGGATAGTACACTCGATTGTGATATCGCATTATTAAAATTAGATTCACCCGTCGTATTTAGGCAAGAGATTAAACCCGCTTGTTTGCCTCCATCGAGTAAGATAAATGAGTATTTGAAAAAAAAACAAAAAGGTAATAAAAATTTAAAATTAATAAACAAATTTTCTCGGTTTTCTCAGATAAAAAATTTTACGGCGAATGGGGTACCGTTATTGGTTGGGGAACGACGAGAGAAGGTGGCTCACCTGCTATCACACTCAGAGAAACGGTTCTACCCATAATATCTAACCAACAATGCATTAATTCGGGACATAAAGGACCGAGAATATCATCGAACATGCTATGTGCTGGCGGATATAGAGGAAGAGACTCGTGCCAGGTAATTTACAAGTCATTAAAATTTAATTTTGTCATCAATCTTTGATTAAGCTTAGTAGTATTTCTTTTATTATTATTATTATTATTATGGATCTATATTTTTAAATTCTATTGAGTCAGCAAAAATAAATTTGTTACTTGCTATTTTTTTTTAAATGAGTCATTTTCAAAGAATAAAAAAAAACCTTTTTATCGTTATAGGGTGATAGTGGAGGACCACTTTTACTATCCACATCATACGGTCAAATGTTTACAGCAGGTATAAGTCTTTAATATGGATTAAATTTTATTGAAATTACTTCAATAGTTGTGATAATCTAAAAGGCAAAACTAGTACTCTAAACATTATTATTAATAATATTGCAGGTATTGTTTCCTGGGGAGAAGGTTGTGGGAGGCCAAATAAACCAGGAGTTTATACAAGAGTTAATAATTTTTTAGATTGGATTATTGCAAACACCTACGATGCCTGTTACTGTTACTGATTTTGAAATTAAATAAAATTTTAGAATAAATTTTTAAAATTCTATATCAGTTATAATAGTTTTAAAACTTCACGACATACAATTTTTTTTTTTTTTTAATATAAAGAAAATTAAAAATAAAACTTTTCTCATTCTCTATAAAAATCATCCTTGTTAACTTTTTTGACGCAATAAAATATCAATAAATAACTTTTCGAATAAGCCCCCCCTCCCCTCTCCTATGGCTATTAAAAAGGTAATTAAATTAGTTTTATTTTTTGATAAGATACGTAGGTAGGTAGGTAGGTAAAAAAAAAATTGACAAAGAAAAACGTTTTTATTTAACGACTACTAAATGGTAGAAATGAAAAATGGCAAAAACGTTTAATTAAAAAAAAATTTTTTTTTTAAATACAAAATGACTGTCAATTGTTTTAAAAATATAATTTTTTTAATAATTTTAATTGTTTTTAATTTTAAGGTAAGATTTTAATTAAAATTTATCGACTAAAGTGTTAAATTTTTTACAAAAAGAAGAAGATAGAAAGAAATTTTATTTTTTAGGAATCTAATTCTGAATCTGACCCATCTTCTTATTTTGAAATAGATGAAGAATGTGGTAAGATTAAAAATCTAATAATTAATTTTTTTTTTGAATAATACTAAATCATCAGTCATTTGATTGCATCTTTATTATTGTTTAATAATAATGATAATTTTTTAGCTAAACATTGTTAGGTATTAAAAAATATTTGCATGATAAAAAAGACAAAGAAGTTCACTATGTTACTGAGTAAAATTTGTTTGTTTGTTTTTTTTTTTTTTTAATATGTTGTAAACTTGGCTAGAATGTGGAAGACGTTATGATATTGGCAGTAGGGTGATTGGTGGCGAAGAAACACAACCAAATGAATATCCATGGGCTGTGGCAATTTTTAGAAAAGGAAAAATATTCTGTGGTGGATCGTTGATAAATGACAAATATGTTTTGACTGCTGGTCATTGTTTGCATTGGTAAAAAGTTTTTTATAAAAAACCTCTTGTATTTATTTGCCATTAAAAAAATAATTTTTTTTAGGGTGAAAAAAGAAGATATGTTTGTCAAATATGGAATCCACAACATAAGTAATGAAGAAAATGAAGGAATGATTGCTGAAATAGAAAGTTTTATTATGCATGAAGATTTTGCCAGCGATTATATTCATGATACTGATGATATAGCGCTAATAAAATTAAAAGAACCCGTTAGTTTTGGTCCCAATGTCCTGCCAGTATGTTTACCACAAAAGGGTGTGACACTCATAAGTTTTATAATAACATTCATACAACAAAAATATTTTTTTTTTAGAATTTTTATTAATGTACTTCTATTTACTTGTTGTAGGGATAGATTATTCAAAAAAAAGAGCAACTGTTGTTGGATGGGGAAAAAAATCACAGGAGGATTTATTTTCTGAAGTTCTTTTGAAAATTAATGTCACAACTTTAACCAATGAGGATTGCAAAAAAGTTAAAGTATTAAGTTCTCATTTATCAGACTCCATGTTATGTGCATATGGAGACAATGTAGATGCTTGTCAAGGAGATAGTGGAGGACCCTTATTGTACAAAGCAAACGAAGATAAAGAGGAAATAATTGGGGTTGTTTCTTGGGGAGTAGGATGTGCCCAACCAGGAATACCAGGAGTTTATTCTAGAGTAGCAGATTATTTAGAATGGATTGCATTACATACAACAGACTCAAAGTATTGCTACAATTCTTTTTGATTTGGATTAACATAAGAATTTAATATCAGAGGGTTAAAATTTCTAAATGAAAAAATGCAATGAGTTCTTTCAATAAGTTTTTAAAAATCTTGTTTGATCTTTTAAGACATTTTTTTTTTTAATAAACTTCAAATATATCTAAATAAAATTTATGAAATAGTTTCTAGAATTTATAATAATGTTTTCAGTATGTTTTCTATCAAAGCAAAGGTTTATTATTACTCAAATAATGATATTGTATAAAACTGAAATTTTGACGCGCCATATTTGTCTGAGGAGATAGTATGGGATTTTAGTTCCTAACTCATATTTAAGATGAAATATACTCATTAACCATTGCTTTACTCGATACTAACTTCTTTTTAACTAAAAAACTATACGATTTTTTCTTTTATATGAAGAATTTTAATAAATATAATGCCCTTCCTTTAAAATTTTTGAACCTGGGCAACCTCTCAACTAAATGCTTAGTGCAAACTCTTTGGTTTAACCTAACCACCATTTTGAAGTCAAGTAAAAGTATAAAACATTGTTAATAAATAAGTAATTTGATTTTCACTTACCTTAGTTTTCCTTATATGCATTTCCATGGGTCCAGTTAACACAAAATTAAAAGATATCTTGAATTTAACACTTTTTTTCAATTTTTGAACTCACTTGTGAAACACACAAATGGCGGCTTTTACTAAACTAGTCAATTGAATAGATTAAATTTCCGGTTATTCGTATACTTCGAAGTTTTTGAGGCACTTTAAAACAAGCGTCAGATCATCAGTCAACAAAGCCTATATAATTTTGGTATGAATAATTCGGTTGCATTGTCCTTGTTAATTGATCTTATCATCAATTGAGCTTATCTACATAAACATTTGGTATGTAGGCCTTTATTTCTTCAATTTTTATAAATTTCTTATCTGTAAAATGTCAATGAACAGTCAAAACAATTTGTTTCTAGTTGGCACTTATCTTTCAAATTAAAACCATACCATAGGAACGATAAAAAAAAAAAAACTTGACAGTACACGACGTCAGTTTTGTATCATTGTTTTTTTTATTAATTTATTTAATTATAATATGAAAATTATATTTTACTAATTTTTCGGTTTTTTTTTTTTTTTTTTTTTTTCAAAATGACTTTTGCGTTATAATAAAAAAAGTTTTAAAGTATTTTGTTTAGTACTCGGGGTAAATGAACTGTACATTCGGTAGTGGAAGTGCACAATCAAATGTCACTGCTTATTCAAATATTTCAATTATTAAATATTGCTGAAATGCTGAAATGTGATCGAATTTATGCAGTCTCAGCTTGACAGGTTGACAGTGTTTATGTGGCACCTTAAGTAAATTGTTCAGTGTAGCAGTGTCTTTTGAACCATTTTATTTGTTTTTTTTTTTATAAAAATAAATCAAAAATGAGTAATATGAATCATTATCAAAATTATGACTATGTTTTTCAGATGAATAGTGCACAATATCCTGTTATTAAAATGGAGGATCCTTATTGTGATGTTGAAGTTGAAAGAAATGTAGTAGATGGAGAGCAAGGCTCATCAACATCTGGAGGAACTCTTCCTTACATGAGTACTTTTAGTGGTAAACATGCAGGGCCTGGTTCTGTAACAATGTTTTATCCACAGCTATCAGGGTATGATATTCATCCACTTTTAATTAATCAACGTCGACGATCAGCTCAAAGTGAAAAATTAATAGATCCTCAGGATCCTTTAGAAGACACGCAAACTTTGACTCCTGCTCTTAACAACCACCAATTAAAAGATACTCGATTTAAGCAAAAATTAAAACCTGGTAAAAGGAGACCCAACGATCTCCAGGATGAATCTTATGTTCTTCCAGAAAATCCTACAGGATTAGACAATGAAGCATCGGATTATTCAGCGAAAAATCGAAAATCATTTTATTGCAGAGCTTGTGGTAAAGCATTTAAATTTCAGACTTCTTTGTTGCGTCATAATAATAAAGTTCACATCAGCAAATACCAGTGTCCTACATGCAGTCGAGTTTTTTCCAGACAGGCATATCTTGATGTACATACTTCTAAACAAGGGAGTTCATGTTATTTGGGTAAATATTTTTTTCCACACAATGTTTTTACTATATAAAACCTTTAGATATTGTTTTAAAACATTAATTATTTAAATCTAAGTTCGAGTAACTTTCATCGGAGTTTTGTTTAATTCGACTAAACCGTATGAAAATTATTATTATTTTTTTAAAAAAAAGTTTCGATTTAGATAAAAGTTTTAAAAAAATTTTCTTTTTCTTTTTATGAATGAACAATTTTCATTCAAATAA